GATGTGATAAATCTTATGTTTTAGTGATTTATCTTATGTGTTAGTGACTGTCTCATGTGTTAGTGTCACCGTCTTCAATCATTATCCTGATGTTACCTCCTGAGAATCACCACCTCTAGTGGCTTCAAGGGGGACATAAATCCAGCGGTTTGTCGAAGCTCTCGCCAATTATTTCTGAGGATTTTTTCCTGATAATTTTGTTAACTGGAATACCGTCTTGGCATTTACTCCTTCGGACAGGGCTTTTCCAGCCTATGGGTGCTAAAATATCTCCTGTTTTCGATCCAACATTGTGGCTTCCTTGAGCCTGAAGCTGTGGTCCCTTGTGTGAGTTAAACTGGATCTTTAGAAGAAGTAATTTGGATCCTATTTGTTGGACCACCTGTGTGAAATACTGTCACCCAGTGGCCAGGTGTTGCGCCAACAACTCTGATACAGCCTCCATAACTTTAATTCAACATTAGCATGTTTTGCCCACGAATTTCTTGTCTAAGAAAACTCGATTAAGAAAAAAAGACCCAAAGAACTGTGGCACAAAATGAAAATGATGATTTTTTGTGTCTTTTAAGATATATATATATATATATATATATATATATATATATATATATATATATATATATAATATATATATATATATATATATATATATATATATATATATATATATATATATATATATATAGTCGCAAACTCAGTGAATTTGTATTTTGTTGACGCATTAGAGGCGCAGGAGGTGAAGCCTGGATTTGACTAATTTTTCCATCGGTGCTACATAATCTTCCCGGCTTGGTGCCTTCTTTTTATTGACTAGTTTTTCACATAAAACGAGCCTCTAATCGCTTTACAACAGGATCCCCAATTATTGCTGCGTCCAAAGGAGCGAACAGTGATGGAATGATGGCTAATCGTCTGGCCCTACCCAGGATTCGAACCTGCATCATCTCGTCTGCAGGAAGAATTGGTAAGAGCGCTAATCCCTACAACATAAGGTGCAGTTCGAACGATATCTATAAGTTTGCAAGGTCTATAGTAATAAATTATAAAGCAAGGCAGCGTCGAATATTGCTTCGGTGTGGCCCCTAACCCTGGCCTTAATCTCTCCCCTGTGCAATCTACAGTATTAAATCATAGGTGTGACCAAAAAGTGCTTCAGTAGGTTATACAAACTCCCGGAGGTACTTGTAGCTGAGCCTAAGCCTAGCAGTACGTCATTACTTCGGTGTGGCCCCAAACCCTGGCCTTAATCTCCTCCCTGTGCAATCTACAGTATTAAATCACCATAGGTGTGGCCAAATGTGCTTCAGTAGGTTATACAAATTCCCGGAGCTACTTGTAGCCGAGCCTAAGCCTAGCAGTTCGTCTGCTAAGCTTGTTCCATGATCCATATATATGTGATTCTTCCTGCATAATAGTATTAGGATAGAATAACAGATGCGAATTTTACTTTCTCAAGCCTATTATATTGTGTTGTAGTTGCCGGAATGTTGCTGCCCTCAGGCTGTGCAAAGGCAATTCAAGGTTATACTCGGCTCCCTCTTTATATTAAGATGATATGGTTTGGCTAACTCATCGGAGGCCAATATATCAATGATGATTTCATTATATAATGTGTCTGGCTTCAGACAAAAGCATGTTAGTTATGTCTGAAGAAGTTGAGCACAATCAGGGATGACAGTCGCTTACAAACAATTAACGTGTTAACTCTGATTCATTCATTTATTGTGCACACTATTCCCATCCCGTGGACGGTGGTGGGTTATAGAGGCACATGACGAGTCAACTTGGGTTGGTAATGGTACCCATCTTTCCCAGGCTACGTTTTGACTGAGAGCCAAGGGGGGAGGGTAGACACCAGCAAACATTCAGTGAGGCTCTGGCCTCAGAGAGCGGAGGCTGGTCGCGGCCGCCTGGCTGGGTCCGTCTCTAAACTTATCTTTATCATTCAAGCATTTGTTTCTCGTTGTTATTTTAGGATTTAAAGAGCATTTAATTGCAAACTCTGAAATTATTGCTGTTATTGTCATTGTCCTAGTAAAGCGGGATGGTACAAGTTCCATCTTGTACTACAGACAGGTTCATTTATCATTTAATGTTCAGTTCAGTTCATTTATTATACACGCAATACCTGTTCTCCGAACGGTTGTGTAAGAGGCTAGAGGCACTTAAGAGGCTCACGACCCAAACCCCAAGAATCAATTACCTAACTAAGTTCCATCTAGATAACTTTGTTATACATAAGAACTTGTTATGCACAGTTTTTATCAAGCCAACATATCCGTGATCCCAGGATCGCGTCCATAACACAACGAATGAGAATTTTAGTTAATTTATTTAGTGTATTATAGATCCCCCGTTTCCCCATCGTGTGGGTGAATGGCAGAAAGGTTTCAGTATCATATAATGGAGCCCAAGAACTGGACCACAACCTAAGCTAGACAATTTATGTTTATGATGAGATAGTTGCATTCTACCTTGCTCAACATGCGCCCCAGTACACCTGCGCAGTGGGCCGCCGAGGATAGCTTAGAGTCATCCTCAACCTACACTAAGCAAACTTGAGATACTTGGCTAAGTTAACCAGACCACACACTAGAAGGTGAAGGGACGACGACGTTTCGGTCCGTCCTGGACCATTCTCAAGTCGATTAATCAAGACACAATCGACTTGAGAATGGTCCAGGACGGACCGAAACGTCGTCGTCCCTTCACCTTCTAGTGTGTGGTCTGGTCAACATACTTCAGCCACGTTATTGTGACTCATCGCCTGCATACTTGGCTAAGCTTTCTGGTAACACTGTATCATCATTTTGAATTAAATACTTTCACATTTCTATAATAATTGTGATATATTTATTTCTAAATTCTTGAAATTGTTGCCATTCAATGACATAATGTATGAGGATAGTTCTGGTGACAAGTGATGTTTGGTGAGACTTACTTGACGAGGTGATGATGGGCTGAGGACTTGAGTAGAGTCATAGGGGAGAGAGGGAGGACTGGGGACAGATTCACAAAGCAGTTACGCAAACATTTACGAACCTGTACATCTTTTCTCCATCTTTGGCAGCTTAGTTTACAATTATTAAACAGTTAATGAGCTCCGAAGCACCAGGAGGCTGTTTATAACAATAACAACAATTGATCGGGAAGTTTTCATGCTTGCAAAATGTTTAATAAATGTAACCAAAGAGCCGTCAAAGATTGAGGAAAGATGTACACGTTCGTAAGTACTTGCTTAACTGCTTCGTGAATCTCCAGTTACGATGGTGGTGGTGTAGGGCGTGGAAGGGCTCGTGACCAGCAAGGAGTCACTACTATTTAGAAGAAGACCCTCTTGATAATAATGATAAATACTGGTCAATCGTTCAGACATGGAGGGACTACACACACACCCATAATGGTGCTTCATGCAGCAAACACTCGTGTTATTAATTTACATTTTTGTATTAAATACATGCAGTGATAATATTATTAAAACTATTTAATCACCTAGTGTACCCTACGTGTCAAATATATTACTCTGAAAGCCGTATCAGGCAGTAAACAAAATGTTGGATTCCTTTCAAAAGAAATTCGCGACTCAGTAGACCTTGAGCACTCGAGACCTGGCAAGTGGTGGTGTTGACCGCGGGACGGCCAGTACCAGGTGTGTGCCTAGCTAGTGAGGACGCTCTGCCTCCTTCCGCCTCACACTCCCATATATAAGCCCTACCGCTGCCCAAGGTGATTACACTCTATAGATTTACTGAACAAAAATTGTACCACTGACGGGCTATTCATGCTCATGCCCCCCTCTTCTTAGGTGCCTTGGTGATTGATTGGCTACGTTCCATGCCAATATTTTGGTCACTATAGCCCCCGTCGTTTGCAGTTCTGGGATGATTTCCTCATCGGCTATAGTAGTAATAATTGAGTGTAAGGGGGTACTGCGTTGGCTGTGCTCCGACCCTCTCCCTGATAACACAGTACTTTGTGGAACTGTGTCAACGATAATAAGAATATCGACGTGATGGACAAATAGAAAGAATTTGGTACAATTCATTACACACAGAAATCACAATAGCGTGATGCATCAATGAACAAATCCACAAGGGCCGTGACGAGGATTTGAACGGCCCTCGTCACGGATTCGAATCCTCGTCACGGCCCTTGTGGATTTGTTCATTGGTACAATTCATTTAATGGCGTCAGGGAAAAATATAGTAAAAAACAAACTTTTAACAATCCTAGGCCAGGTATGGCGCATATATATCAACTATATTAGGCCTCAGATAGTGTGTATTAGGCCTAGAAATGTCACTATAGATTAGGTTTCATGCGCAAGATAAAAAGGAAACCTTTTTCGGGTTGTCCAAATCCAGTAAGACAAATGTCTACTTTCTATTGGCCCATCACGTCCAGGTCTATACCATCGACCACTTCGTTACTATAAGTACGTTCATTTTAGGATGCTGAACTGTATATTACAGATGCATGGTACTGTATTACAGATGCATGGTACTGTATTACAGATGTATGGTACTGTATTACAGATGCATGGTACTGTATTACAGATGCATGGTACTGTATTACAGATGTATGGTACTGTATTACAGATGTATGGTACTGTATTACAGATGCATGGTACTGTATTACAGATGCATGGTACTGTATTACAGATGTATGGTACTGTATTACAGATGCATGGTACTGTATTACAGATGCATGGTACTGTATTACAGATGCATGGTACTGTATATTACAGATGCATGTGAGCATCTTGGTATTGTTACTGGTATGAGTGATGTCTTGCCACTGGCGGAGCGTGAGACGAGACGCCCACGGTAGATATGTCGTGAACATATCTCCACCTTCACTCTGCAGACAAGTGTTTACCGTTCTTCTTTCCCCATACGCGTGTATTTGCGTCCAATTACAGCTGACGCAGATATCGCAAACGACTCTGTCACGCTATACTCATTCTCTGAGCGGTAGTTTATTGTGCACCCCATACTCATCCTGTGAGCGCATTTCTCACACCTTTATCATATTTACAATTAAAATATAGGATCGAATTAACTTTAACGACTCCTGCATCTAACCTGTTCCATCTGTTGAGGGTTTGTAATACTGTTCTTTCCGATGTCTATATGGCTCATTTGCGTCTCCAGTTTCCATCTGTAACTTGTGTGTGTGTGTGTGTGTGTGTGTGTGTGTGTGTGTGTGTGTGTGTGTGTGTGTGTGTGTGTGTGTGTGTGTGTGTGTGTGTGTGTGTGTGTGTGTGTACTCATGCTGGCAATACTTCATATTCACTGTGCCAAAGACTTTCTGGCATCGCGTGTGTGTGTGTGTGTGTGTGTGTGTGTGTGTGTGTGTGTGTGTGTGTGTGTGTGTGTGTGTGTGTGTGTGTGTGTGTGTGTGTGTGTGTGTGTGTGTGTGTGTGTTACACCTCAGCCCTGGTGTCTCTACAGGAAGGAGGGGGGGGGGGATCGTTACCGTCTTCACTACCATGCACGGTGCCTACACCACCCTCACACTCGCGTGGGTCCTGCCCTGACTGTCACCCCTCGTGTGGGCCTCTCTTCCTTTTCACCACCTTCCTTTTTTTCTGTCCGATTGTCTCTCAAGACTCCCTCTGGGTTATCAATATCCCTCCTCGTGTCGCTCCACCTTTGCCCTCATGCAGGGTGCCCACTTGTATTGCAAGACCTTGACCCACATGGTAGGGGGGCTTCTACCCCCTCCTACGGTTATGAAACGCCTTTTCCTTGGGCACTTTTCTTCCCACTCCTGTTCCATTGCCCCTCTTCACCGATGGGTCTAAGTTTGTTGACAGTGTGGAGGCGCCTCTATTGTCTTTCCTGACTACACCTCCATGTGCCGGAGACTACCAGGGGGGGCAGATCTCTTCACGGCAGATCTTTATACAGTCTTGTATGCTCTTCGTCAACTGGTCTCCCAATGTCAACGTTCCTTTGGCATTGTGGTTGACTCCCGCAGTGCCCTAATGGCCCCTGGAGTCATTTAACACCCCCATGCATCCTGTGGTGGTCAAGTTCAACATTGGCTGTTTCTTAACATTAGCAGATGTGAGACAGTTGAGTTTTGCTGGGGTTCCCAGCCATATTGGCTTACACGAACGTGCGCACACTGCCGCTAAACAGTCCGTACGTGTCCTAGTTCCATAACAAATCATTACTAATTCAGTTTTCTTCCTACAATCCGTAACCGCTGGCAAGGTCGTTGGTCTTAAGTTATTTGTAACAAACTGCGCGCTCTTAGAAGTAAACTATTCCCCTTGGCCTTCTTCCTACCACCGTGATAGACGCTGGGAAACGGCTTAGGCTAGGTTACGTATTGGGCATACACGCCTCCCTTCTGGCCATGTAATGGCACACCGCCCTGCTCCTTACTCTCCAGACCTTCTTGTGGGATGTCCAGATCTGCAGGATGGCCACTTGTCTTGTTTTCCTAATGTACCTCGACAACGTCCTTGGCGAGTCTGACACCGTCTTTGGAGAGTCTGACACCTTGGATACCGCTTACCTTATGTGTTTTTTGTCCTCGAACTGGCGTCCTCGGTGATATTTAGCACCTTGTGAGTACCCCTGCACACCGATGGTGCTGTTTAGCCTCCCCCGGATTGGTGCCTTCTTTTGGTAATTACTTAGTGAACCCTTTTCTTAATTTAAACAAAATAGAAAGGGGGGATATCATGAGAGAGGGATAGCGAGAGGGAGATTATGGAGAAAGGATAGCAAGAAGGAGCAATAGAGAGGGAGATAAGGGAAGGAGAGGGGGAGGTGAGGGAAAGAGAGGGGATGATGGGGGAGAGATAGAGAGGGAAAGTGAGGGAAGAATAGCGAGAGGGATATGACCACTTGGAATACCTTATACAAAAGTTTAAACTCGCTCCTTCTCATTATTTACCCTATCCCTCCATCCTTCCCCTTCACCTCACTCTACCCAACCACTTGGGCTAGACGGTAGAGAGCGACGGTCTCGCTTCATGCAGGTCGGCGTTCAATCCCCGACCGTCCGCAAGTGGTTGAGGGCACTATTCCTATACCAACTCCCCGTCCCATCCTAAATCCTTATCCTGACCCCTTCCCAGTGCTATATAGTCGTAATAACTTGGCGCTTTCCCCCTCATAATTCCCTCTACTTGGCTCTCTAACTCGTCGTATTTTCATGAATGGAGAAAGTCATACACTGGAAAATGAGTCACTTTTGTTAACTTGGATAGTAGTAGTAGACATCCATCAGTCTCAGGAGACTATGGAGATACACCTTATGATATCCTATTATCTGTTAAACTAGTCCCCCCTACAGCCCGTAACACAGCCTGCTGGGCTAAACTAACCTCCTACAGCCCGTAACACAGCCTGCTGGGCTAAACTAACCTCCTACAGCCCGTAACACAGCCTGCTGGGCTAAACTAACCTCCTACAGCCCGTAACACAGCCTGCTGGGCTAAACTAACCTCCTACAGCCCGTAACACAGCCTGCTGGGCTAAACTAACCCCCTACAGCCCGTAACACAGCCTGCTGGGCTAAACTAACCCCCTACAGCCCGTAACACAGCCTGCTGGGCTAAACTAACCTCCTACAGCCCGTAACACAGCCTGCTGGGCTAAACAAATCCCCTACAACACAGCCCGCTGTTTAAAGCTAACCCACTAAGAAGCTATACGCTAAGAAGCTAACCATCTGCACGTCTTACAGATGGTGAACGTCCCGGGCTTGGCGGGGATCGTGGTGTTCTACGCGGTGATCCTGGCCATAGGCGTGTGGGCCGCCTGGCGGAGGAGGAAGCAGCGGGTGGACTCGGAGGAGGTGATGCTGGCAGGGCGCTCCATCGGGCCCCTCGTCGGCGTCCTCACTATGACAGGTGAGAAGACCTTGGGGAAGGGCCAGGGGGCCAGGTGTCCCCTGAGAGTGTACCAGGGGTACACGTGGCTGGGACACGTTCCAGGGGGACGTGTCCTACGTACCCCTGGTACGTGGGACCACATATATATATATATATATATATATATATATATATATATATATATATATATATATATATATATATATATATATATATATATATATATAACTAAACTAACTATATATAAAACTAAACTAAACTATATATATATATATATATATATATATATATATATATATATATATATATATATATATATATATATATATAGAGCAGTCTTTGTAGCAGTCTTTCTTGTAGATATATTATTGAACATGGCATAAAGGATGAGATTCGTGCTTAAAGCATTAATCTTCTCTATTTCTTATGTATTTCTTCGTTTTAAAAGGAAGTCAAAAAATTAACACTCTAAAGACCAATTTACAGTTTTACTACTAGTCTGAAGCTAAGAGATGCGTCTCGTTGACTCTTGTCAACATTTTCAAAGTCTGTGACTATTTTCAAGGCCATATTCCGGGTGATTATTCTGAACGTTATTATTCAGTATAGGACCGTAAGTGTTATATTCAGTATCCCTGCCTAGGAGTAGTTATTCTGCGAGAAGCAGTATTTTGTGGGGTTGAGCCTGGCCTCGGGCCGGGCTTGGGGAGTAGAAGAACTCCCAGAACCCCATCAACCAGGTATATGTGGGCCTACGGGCCGCTCCAAGCAGCAGCCTGGTGGACCAAACTCTCACAAGTCGAGCCTGGCCTCGGGCCGGGCTTGGGGAGTAGAAGAACTCCCAGAACCCCATCAACCAGGTATATGTGGGCCTACGGGCCGCTCCAAGCAGCAGCCTGGTGGACCAAACTCTCACAAGTCGAGCCTGGCCACGGGCCGGGCTTGGGGAGTAGAAGAACTCCCAGAACCCCATCAACCAGGTATATGTGGGCCTACGGGCCGCTCCAAGCAGCAGCCTGGTGGACCAAACTCTCACAAGTCGAGCCTGGCCTCGGGCCGGGCTTGGGGAGTAGAAGAACTCCCAGAACCCCATCAACCAGGTATATGTGGGCCTGCGGGCCGCTCCAAGCAACAGCCTGGTGGACCAAACTCTCACAAGTCGAGCCTGGCCTCGGGCCGGGCTTGGGGAGTAGAAGAACTCCCAGAACCCCATCAACCAGGCATCAACCAGAGAGATTACAATTGGGGGGGGGGGAGCAGAGGCAGAAATAGAGTAGGGGGTGGGAGGGTCACTCTGCCGGAATGGCATCAAGTGCCAATTGCGGCGTGGCACTGGCCTGGCTACCTCGTTAAGTGTGCCAAGCCGAGCTCTGGCGGTCATGACTTGACCAATATTGCTACGTTACCTCAGTACAGTTAGCTTAGCAGATCCGTTACTGATTGGTTCAGGGCTTCACTACCTGGCATCCCCCCTGAGGCATTTGTTTGCTTCCGAAGACTGTTCATCTGGCAGTAAACAAACACGTGGGAGTTATGTGACTGTTGTGGGTTGCATATTGCGTAAGGTTAGTCATTGGTTATAAGAACCTGGCTAAGCCTAATTCCCTGGAAACACAAATCCAAACTGTCTCTATTTTCCGCTTGTTACAACTTGTAATAAAGTTGTTAAATCTTTGCTTAACGTGTTTATGACGTATTAGAACGTTGTTACAACTTGCTATATTGGTTCTTATAACTGGTTAGGAGATGTTAAAGCTTGTTCGAACGTTGTACCAACGTCGTAGTTTCGGTGTGTGTTTGGCGGGAAGAGGCTTCTTGTCCCCGAAAGCGGGAAACTATTTCAACGTTTTTGGGATTTTAAAAGTTTGAATTAACTGTTGTTTGTGTGTGTCAGCCACGTGGGTCGGCGGCGGCTATATCAACGGTACGGCGGAGAAGGTGTACGAGAAGGGCCTCATCTGGTGCCAGGCGCCCTTCGGGTACGCCATCTCCCTCACCATAGGTAAGTGCCTCAGGGTGTCCAACGGTCACTCTCCCAGGTCGGTAAGTGTAGAACCAACAGCTCCCTAATCGGTATCTCAGGGTCCGTTTTTCAGACTGGGATTACTTTCAGGTATGGATTATCAGGGACAGACTCTGGAAGCCAGTCAGTTAATGCCAGCTTACAACACAACCCGTCCTCTTAAAAATAACGTCACTTTTGGCTCGTATGCGCCGCTATGGCCAAATTTGGACGTAATTTGAAATGAAATCGACTCACAAAAGTGACGTATTGTCCCGTTTTCTGTTTGAGTCGTCCGGCTTACTCGGCAAGCTTAGAAAAGGAAACTTTCCATTAACGTTTTTCATACCATTTTGAAACGTTATGAGAATTTCCTGCCCACCTAACCTATCAGAGGAACCTTAACTTACTGTTGTTGCAAAAAAAAATCCCAAATTTATTTTCATTTTTTTTTTTTCATTTTGAAATTACGTCCATATTCGGCCATACGGGCAAACGGCCAAAAGCGACGTTCTTTTTAAGAGGACAGGTTGAGTGTGCTCGGCCCCTTGTTGTGAAATGTTTACTTCAGTGATCTACAACACCTCTGAAGATCAAGCCTACGTTGATAACGGCATTCTGACCTTGACATATGCAGGAGAGAAATGACAGCTAAGGGAACCATTACTGGGGCTGGAGAGCGACAGGAAACTTTCGTGTCTGAGGATAATCAGGCGATGATGATGATGATGATACCTGAACTGAGTGATAGTGCAACTCGGAGTGGTATGGGATGAGTGGAAAAAGCTTATTGCAAATAATGCAGTTGGCCTCTTGGAGATGCAGTTCGGTTTTAATGACTTTGCACTGCAACCAAGAGGCTATCAGTGCTAAAGCATATCTCGTATTTTCTCAAAATTAGTGGTTACAGCATTATATATGAAGCTCAAATTCTTTCACATCTTGATTACGCATAAGTCTCCCCTAATGGCCAGCCTAACAGCTTTAAAACTACTTCTGGATAAATTAGAGAAACGTACTTGAAGATTCTTCTCTTAGTGTGACTCGTCTCTTTGGACAAGTCCGTACACCAGAGCCTTTAACACCCAAATTGGCGTGTGTGTGGTGCTATATACGAGGATACAGTCGTGTTGTAGGGGCAGGGTTACTCACCTGGTAAAGCTTCGTAGCCAAGCAGGAGAGAGGTAACTACAACACAAGGCGCTCAGCCATCAACAGCCTTTTGCTACATGGGTTATCAACGATCATACATTTCTAGGCTGACTGACAAGTGGAACATGTTTTCTCATTAGAGAAACCCGCTGGCACACAGCTCCAGCCTCACCCTGTCTCGTATGATTGTAACTTACTTTTAAACAAAGTTAATACCAAATGCAAAACCAATACTAATCTCAACATATTCATCATTTGTTAGGGGTCACACTTAAAATGAGCTAATGTAGGATAGCAAATCTTAGCTTAAAGTTCCTTTAGTATCTCTCTCCTTCCTGTTGATAGAGAGAGAGAGAGAGAGAGAGAGAGAGAGAGAGAGAGAGAGAGAGAGAGAGAGAGAGAGAGAGAGAGAGAGAGAGAGAGAGAGAGAGGAAGAGATTGTCAGGATATTCCTTGGTGGCCTTTAATGATGACACAGGTGTTGGACACCTGTGTCATCATGCCTGGGTGTTGGGCACCTGTGTCATCATGCCTGGGTGTTGGGCACCTGTGTCATCATGCCTGGGTGTTGGGCACCTGTGTCATCATGCCTGGGTGTTGGGCACCTGTGTCATCATGCCTGGGTGTTGGGCACCTGTGTCATCATGCCTGGGTGTTGGGCACCTGTGTTTTGTAAGGAGTGTAGGAGGAGCGGGTGAGACCAGCACCGGTGTCAACACCTCGGCCCGTCACAGTACTTGACAGTACGTCACAGACACATAAATCTTGCTGAAAGTATTCATTCATTTCATTCATGAATTCTTAACCCCACTTTCCCTTCTACTCGCCGCCCCCCCCCCCTTCCCCCTCTTCCTATCGCTCACGCATTCATTCACACACACACACACACACACACACACACACACACACACACACACACACACACACACACACACACACACACACACACACACACACACCAAAAAAAATAGAAATTGACCAAACAAACTTAGCAATAATTGTTCTTTAGGTGAGGCGCTTGAAGTTTGAGATAAGACTAATGGAACTTGATTTTTCGAATCGCTTGAAATTTGAGATAAGACTAATGGAACTTCGTCACACTGGAAGAGACATTGCATATAATCAACATGATCACGACATGCAAAGTTTTAACTGCAATTAACACAATTTTTTCCGAAAAAAATCGTTGTAAAATTGTGAGAAGCAGCAGACGGAGGCACAAATAAGTGAGAGAGATGAGAGATGCAACTGGGGTTACCCAGGACACCCGTTCATATTCCCGTCATGTTCCGAACATGATCTTATTCTCTGCAGTACTTGGTATTTTGATGTTATTCATCCAAAGTCCGAAGAGTTCATTAGAGTCATCTTGAGGTTATCTTGAGATGATTTAGTGTCCCCGCGGCCCGGTCCTCGACCAGGCCTCCACCCCCAGGAAGCAGCCCGTGACAGCTGACTAACTCCCAGGTACCTATTTACTGCTAGGTAACAGGGGCATTCAGGGTGAAAGAAACTTTTGCCCATTTGTTTCTGCCTCGTGCGGGAATCGAACCCGCGCCACAGAATTACGAGTCCTGCGCGCTATCCACCAGGCTACGAGGCCCCAATCAGTCTCACCCTGTGTCGTACGGGACGTTTATGTCCTTCGGTAATCACTACGCTTCTCCAGTGACTGCTGTCAATTATTTACCCGACTTTAAAATGAGAAAGGCGGTATTCGCCTTCACCCAGAATAGATGACTCGAGCGTGGCGAGTACTATAATGGCCTTGTCGACGCTGGAGATCATGGGGCTAGATTCACGAAGACGTTAGGTAAACACTTACGAACCTGTACATCTTTTCCTCAATCTTTGGCGGCTTTGTTTATAATTATTAAACAGTTAATGAGCTCCGAAGCACCAGGAGGCTGTTTATAACAATAACAACAGTTGATTGGCAAGTTTTCATGCTTGTAAACTGTTTAATAAATGTAACCAAAGCCGTCAAAGATTGAGGAAAGATGTACACGTTCCTAAGTACTTGCGTAACTGCTTCGTGAATCTGGCCCCCTGGCGCCTGCTCGCATCTTGGCACAAGTTCATATCTCTTGATTAAAAGCTTCCGTGTTCAATTGTTTCGTTACAAGTCTCTGTTATTTAGTTTAAGTTGCTTTCTGTAGCGTAGCCGTGTCCTCGCTGGCTTGTTACAGGATACAAGCCAGGATAAACCAGGAAGGATACAGGACGCCTGTATCCTTCCTGGTTTATATCTAGTTACTGTATTGTGTGTATGTGTGTAGTGTCCAAACCTGCCAGTGATGTTGTTGTTTTGGGTTTAGTTACTCCGAGCGAAATGTCCATGTAGCACGGGCTATGGTGAGCCCGTAACTGCCAGTAACATTACACCTTCTTAAATAAGACCATATGACCGCCATCAAGTGACATATAGGGCTGACAGCGTCAACGCTTCTGATATTCAGCCTGTCAGCTAGATAGCCAACAATTTAACCTATTAATCAGTCAGACAAGATTCTTTTGCAACAATTTGGCACCACTTAGAGTGTTTGTAAGCTGGTGTGTCCTCCATGTTTATGTTTCAAAAATAAACAAATCGACGCAGTTCCTCTTGAACTTTGATGTCCTAAGTCGAGGAAGTGTTATGTCTGCATCTGTGTATACTCACCTTGTTGTGCTTGCGGGGGGGGGGGTTGAACTTCGGCTCTTTGGTCCCGCCTCTTGACTCTCAGTCTACTGGTGTACATGTTGGGGAGCTTATTGAGCTCTGTGATGACCAAACCATACACCAGGAGATGAGGAAGTTGTCTCCTCATCTTGTGGTTTGACTCATCGTCTGCATTGAGCTCTAGCCTATCTACATTTGGCACTGTGTATGGAGTCAGCTTCCACCACATCACTTCCTAATGCATACCATTTGTTGGTTATTCTGACCCTGAAAAAAAATTCTCTCTTGTCTCTGTGGCTCATTTGGGTACTCAGCTTCGACTTGTGCCCCCCCCCCCCTCCTTGTGCGAGTACCACACTTGCTAAATAATCGTCCTCTACCTTGTCAATTCCCCTGAGAATTTTATACATGGTGATCATGTTTCCCCTAACTCTTAGGTCTTCTGTGTGTCTTCTGTCGGCTGCGTGTGTGTGTGTTTGTATGTGTATCTGTACTCACCTAATTGTGCTTGCGGGGGTTGAGCTCTGGCTCTTTGGTCGTGGTATTCTGTACCAAGACTGCTCGTATCTCCCGTAACTACTGAGCTCGTAACTAAGCTCTTTGGTCTGTATGTGTCGGTGACTGTAGAAACGTGGCATGCTAGTGTATTCTCAGGAAGGGGGTGAGAATACTCCTTTTTTGTGTATTCGTATACACAAATAATTTCGTGAATTCGTGTGTGTGTGAAGGAAAGAAATTGACGAGTATTTGCAAGGACCACACAATGTCGGTGCCTCCGTCTGTCTGTCTCTCAACGCGACTTGCAATGTCTCAGTAAGACTTGAGACACTCCAGCCAGGTCCTATTTAACGCAGCTTTATTTCCATAGATAGTAGGTAGATGTAAGAGTAGTTGAGGTGCCTGTGTGTGTGTGTGTGTATGTGTGTGTGTATTCACCTAATTCTGCTTGCGGGGGTTGAGCTCTGGCTGTTTGGTCCCGCCTCTCAACCGTCAATCAACTGGTGTACAGGTTCCTGAGCCTACTGGGCTCTTATCATATCTACATTTGAAACTATGTATGGAGTCAGCCTCCACCACATCACTTCCTAGTGCATTCCATTTACTAACTACTCTGGCACTGAAAAAGTTCTTTCTAATGTCTCTGTGGCTCATTTGGGTACTCAGAGTATGTGTGTGTGTGTGTGTGTGTGTGTGTGTGTGTGTGTGTGTGTGTGTGTGTGTGTGTGTGTGTGTGTGTGTGTGTGTGTGTGTGTGTGTGTGAGTGCGCCCCCCATGTGAACGACTATCTCCCACAGGCGGACTGTTCTTCGCCAAACCTATGAGGAAGGCTGGCTATGTCACCATGCTCGACCCTCTACAGGACGCCTTCGGCCGGAGGATGGGAGGACTTCTCTACTTCCCAGCGCTCCTGGGGGAGACCTTCTGGTCGGCTGCTATCCTCTCAGCTCTTGGTAAGTCTCCCACTAACTAGCCTCTTTATCGTGAAATGGGAGATACGAGCAGTCTTGGTACAGAATACCACAACACTTATTTATAAACTCACATTTTATGCGCTGACATACTTGTTTTCACCATTGTTATAGCTAATTTATTCCTCCCCCGCCCCCGGGTGCAATCCGGCTCAGGAAGAGCAGCAAACAAAACAATAATTAAGTAAAAGAAAGACAAAACAAATCTTCAGAGTCAGCCTGTGGCGTTAGGAGTCACAAATATGTGTGAAGGTTTGCCCTTTGACCTTATGGGCGGTGTTACCTAAAGGGGGTCGTTAGTATGACTTTACTTGATATTTTAGAGTTATGGGTAATGCCTGAAGGACCTTGGGGCTGTGCAGTGGTGGCTGACGGTCTCAAATGGAAGTTTGAATAAATATAAAATCATAATATAGAGCGTTAACTACATTATCCCTTTATAGCAAAGATTGGTGCATTTATGATGGTTTTAACGGCTGAGGGAGGCAGGGAGGACCTGCTGCATGGGTAACAGCTTCTCCACCATATCAACCTACCCTGGCTTTGCGCCCTGGAGAGGCCACTCCAGACCGACAACCAGAGCGCAACTCCATAGTCTCCTGAGACTGATGGATGCCTACTAGTATAACTTCACACCCAAGCTGAGGAGACACAAGTTATTCTGTTACTCTTGTCACTGGTGTGCCAGATATTCTAGCAGCCAAGAACAGTGGCCTGTTCTTGGCACCACTTGGGCCAAGAACAACGTTGTGTCTCTCTTGCAGGCGATGAGTCACAATAACGTGGCTGAAGAATGTTGACCAGACCACACACTAGAAGGTGAAGGGACGACGACGTTTCGGTCCGTCCTGGACCATTCTCAAGTCGATTGTGTCTCTCTCTCTTGTCTTACCAATTGTTTACGAATGAATCTCTAACTAGAGTATTCTTGAAGCACGGTTCTCGGCTCACAACCGAGGGACCCGGGTTCAGTCCCCAGGTCCCACAGGACAGAAACGGTTGGACTTTCTTTTCACCTCATGCCTCTGGTACCCGGGAGTTAGATCATGGTTGTAGGGTCGCATCCTGGGGAAGATTAGCAACCGGTTCCTGGAGCTAATTCTAAGTCTGAGAGCTAATTCCACGTTCAGTAATGCCTTTTATTAAGCGCCTTTTATAATGAGGTTTTGTCTCTTGAGTGAAGCATCGTTTGAAAGGGTGGTAGACATAGCCTAAGCTACTCTATCCCTTTGAGATGTATTTCTTTCTTGTCACAATAAACATGAACTTGAATCGTTTGAAAGTTGCTTAGCCTGCTGAGAAATTGAAAGTTTCTCAGCAGGCTAAGTAAACCTGTTTTCCCGAAACCTGTAAACCTGTAAACCTGAAGAAAGTTTCCTCAGTAAACCTGAAGAAAGTTTCCTCGGTAAACCTTGGCTTTTATGCTTGAATAGTTATAACGGGCTATAATGCATTCCGGTACCACCAGAATTATATTATTATTATTTAGCAGAATTTATTATAGTTGTTCTGAGAACATTGCTCTCAGTGTTTAATGTGATGCAAGTTGACCAAGGCCTGTCAACCCTCCACCTCCTGCCTTACATAGTTAGTGTCGTCCACTCTACGAGTCATAACATTTTTATCTTAATCTTTAAATTTGTTTTTCCCTGCCTTGCTCGTTGAAATTTCCTTCACCTTGTTCTTCATGATGATCTTTTCATTAATACGGCTTTTCTCCTTCATGTTCTTATATGTCATTAATCTTTTCTGCCTTCTTTCTCCCCTACTTTCCTCACTTCCTCCCTTCCACCCCTCTTCCTTCCCTCGTCAACTGTGCTTCCGTTTTTCCTGTCCTTCGCTGCCTGGCTTCCTTTTTGTTTACCTTCTTATGTGTTTTGACCTTCGTCTTTTCATTCACTTCCAATCCCCCTTTTGCGCGCTCTATCATCGTCTCCGCTTCACCTTTCTCCCTGTCTGCCCTGTGCCCTCGTGCTGCCCTGCGCCCTCGTGCCGCCCTGTGCCCTCGTGCTGCCCTGTGCCCTCGTGCCGCCCTGCGCCCTCGTGCTGCCCTGTGCCCTCGTGCCGCCCTGCGCCCTCGTGCTGCCCTGCGCCCTCGTGCCGCCCTGCGCCCAGGCTCGACGCTGTCTGTCATCCTCAACATCGACAACACGACGTCCATCTTGGTGAGCGCGGCCATCGCCGTCACCTACACTCTCTTCGGCGGGCTCTACTCCGTCGTCTACACTGACGTCGTCCAGCTCTTCTGTATCTTCATCGGTCTGGTAGGTGCAGGCTTATACCTCTTTCCTTACCTCTTCCATCCTCGTTCCCTTCCCCTTCCATTCCCCCATCCATCCCTTTCCATTCTCCGTCCCTTTCCCATTCCCTGCTTGTCTACTTCGTCTTTCCCAAATAGTGTTCCAAGTGTGACCGTCCGGAATGTCTAGCCAAGTGCAGTATTCTACTGAGAAAGTTTAGGAAAAAATGTATTAACTCTCAAATTCTCTTACATTTTATGAACATAATTCGATGCAATGATAAGTGTGCAGATGATGAGTCACAATAACGTGGCTGAAGTATGTTGACCAGACCACACGCTAGAAAAGGAAGGGACGACGACGTTTCGGTCCATCCTGGACTATTCACAAGTCGATCTTCGACTTGAGAATGGTCCAGGACGGACCGAAACGTCGTCGTCCCTTCATTTTCTAGTGTGTGGACAACAATGATAAGTGTGTGAACGCCAGGGCTCACGCGACTCCTTTTGGTCATCTTGCAGTGGCTTGCAGTGCCATTCTCCATGACGAACCAGGCGGTGGGTTCACTGGCACTCAACGAAACCAACTGGTTGGGTTCCATCGAGTCTGACTCGCCTGAGTGGGGACAGTGGATCGACTACTGGCTTCTGCTTGTCTGTGGCGGCATACCATGGCAGGTAGGTCCTCCGTGTCCAGCTCAGCTATTGGAACCACGTCGGCGAAGGCTACAACCTTCAAATCTCGGCACTCAGATGTTTGAAAGATACAGGGCGTTCAACTAAATAAAACTTAGACATTTCTCTCCTTCTACCGCATTCTAATTCTTCGTTACTCATGCAGTAAAGAAGCGCCTTTCACATCCCTATTGGTTATATTAAGTGGGTGACATGAGGGACGGGTGGAAGTACTGATCCCTGTGGTACTCTGCTTGTTACTTTCTGCCATTCTGAGTTCTTCTCTTATGCTTACTCTCTGCCTCCAGTTGGCTACGTGTTGTGAGGCAGCTTAACATGCGTCCGGGTTACTCCCAGCTGCTTCACAAGATTATACAGTAATTCTTGTGCAGAATTGTTAGACTATCTAGCAGTTCAGAAGATGCAGCCGGTACATCCTCCTCTTTTTTATCAATTATTGTTTATGTTGTCATGGAAACTTAACTAGTTCTTCATAAACTTTCCCTTATGTGCACCCATGTTGTTGCTGTCTATCTGAATAGACAGCAACAACAGTAGTGTAAATGGATCTATCTGATCCATTTACACTACCAGACCAGGTATACATGTCAGGGCTAAAGCGCTATTGGATGCGAGTGTTCTGGTGTTTTGGGCTCGGCGGTCTCCCTGGCTGGATGTGAAGCAAGAGGTAACCAGATCGCGCGGTTTGCTCCCTCAGGTATACTTCCAGCGGGTGCTATCATCGCGGTCACCAGGCCACGCCCAGCTCCTCTCCTTCGCCGCCTCCGCCGGCTGCATCATCAGCGCCGTCCCCGCCTGCATCATCGGCGCCGTCGCCAAAGCTACAGGTAATCAGCTAGAACAGGTACTCTGCACTTGGTCGTGTATTGGCGCTCCGCTAGTGACGCAGTGTGTTCCCATGAGTCACTCAGTGTTCCTGAAGTGTGATACTTTAAAGTCAAGTGTGGTTTATCGTCAACAGACTGGAGTCAGACGAGCTATGGCCACGCCCCCGACGGTTACCAGGCGAAGCTGGTTCTTCCTCTCGTGATGCAGTACCTGACTCCGGAGGCAAGCATTCTATGTTTCTACCCCTCACCAGTACCACCACCACCCTCACTACCCCCTTTGCTGATGAGAACATATATTTAAAGATATACAATGCTCGTTACTTGAAACATATCACAGACTCTTAATAATTGCGTTATGACAAGGTCAAGACGGAAGTGTGACATTACAAGATGTTCATCTGTTGACAGTGGGTGGCATTCGTTGGTCTTGGCGCCGTCAGCGCCGCCGTCATGTCCTCAGCTGACTCCTCCGTCCTCTCGGCCTCCTCCATGTTCGCCAGGAACATCTATAAAAACGTCTTCCGGCAGAAGGTGAGCGTCTTCCCACCGAGTCGTGGTCACCTTCATCTCTCTACGTAAGTTACCCCATAAACATGTCGTATTGTCCGTCTCTGTGAAAGAAATTTAGTACCTTTAAGTATCCAACTGACAAATTTAATTTTGAAATGTTGCAGTGGATTGATTTGGATAATTTTAACATGGAATTGATTTATTTACAAAGTTGCTCACTTTGGAGGGAAAAAACTGCCGGCTTAAGAAATGAACAAGAAAATATTGAAAAATATCGGATAATAACTGAAATCTTAAGAAATTTGCAGTAAAGGAGGTTCGGAAACTCTTGAATTTCATTCCTGAAACCTTTGACTGTCAGAAAAGTCTCTCAGTGGCATTATTATCCACATTTTCATCGACATATTCATGCGAGTCATTGTGATCACGATGAACTTTGTCAAGCCAAGTTATGTAGACATTTTGGTGAACTTCTGTATGTATATACAGCTCTCAAAACAACGAAATAAAAGCCTGAAATAGCAGAAATCTCCGCGAGTAAAATATTTAGCCTATGTTCTTTCCCCTGATTATATAACATGAACCCATATAGCCTATTGCTTCACATTAACTCTTCTTATGATGCTTGTAAAGTACAATGACAATAAACACAGAGATCACACTAACTGAAATTGAAATTGAAATAAGTTTATTGAGGTAAAATACACACAAAGGGATGAGGTAGCTCAAGCTATTCTCACCCCGTTCAGTACATCGTGTTAATACATACATATATACACATCACAAGCAATAAACGTATTACCGAAAATCATCACACTAACGTGATGCATCAAATGAACAACTCCACAAGGGCCGTGACGAGGATTCGAACCTGCGTCCGGGAGCATCCCAGACACTGCCTTAATCGACTGAGCTCCGACAGGGTTAAAAAAGAGTTGAAACCGAAGTTCTACTGAACTTACTGGATCCCGTAGCCTCTCCGAGGCACAAATCCTCGTCACGGCCCTTGTGGATTTGTACAATGACAATACTATTTACATATTGTTTATTTTTCATGTTTTTTAACACGGATATTAATAATTTGTTGAATCGGCTTTCTAAAATGCCATCACTTATTTATATCTCTCTGTTATACTTATGTTAAAAGTAATACGTAAATACGGAACATGGTTCCTGATCTTTCCATAAAAAGGTCGAATATTATTGTTAATAATCCACACATTTGGTTCTTGTGAATAACTAATTGTTATTAACATGTAATTCCTAAAGATGTTCCATTTAAAACAATTCCATTGTACCGTTTGGAATCATTGCACCGCGGAATCCTCCAGTTGCCCAACCCCCAGTAGGTGTAGGAAAGTAACGAGTCAGTAACGCGCCAGTAACGAGTGTTTCCTGCAGGCGAGTGAGAGAGAGGTGATCTGGGTGATGCGGGCGGCCATCTTGGTGGTGGCAGGCGTCGCCTCCACCATCGCCATCCTCATCCACAGCATCTACTACCTGTTGTAAGTGCTCCCTCATGCCGTCTTCACACTTCTAAGCATCTACTCTTCCAGACCACTGACCTTTCCGCCCTGTTCTTTCTTGCTAATCATAATGTGTTCCGCTGTAGACACACATGTGGAGTACTGTTGGTGCGTTAGTGTCCCGGCGGCCACAAAATCCAAGAGTAACGTTAATTCAACGTTCTCTTGGGTATTGCGGCCACTGGATAGTCAGTGGTGAGGCGTAACGAGTTGTGCTTCTCTCCTGTGTGGTGCAGTAAGCTGTGTGGCGACCTGGTGTACGTGGTCCTCTTCCCTCAGCTCCTCATGGTCGTCCACTTCCGCCAGTACGTCAACACCTACGGCTCCTTCGTCGCCTTCTGCCTGGGGATGCTGGTGCGTCTCCTCGGTAAGTCCACATACACACACGACCAAACATTCATTTGCCTTTTAGAAGCCTGAATAAGGAAGCTTGCAGATATAATCTTGAAAAGGAATATATATAACTTTGTACCTGGTAAGTAACCAAGTTTGTAGACTCATTGTGTGACCTTGAGAAGAAGTATAGGTTAGGAGTCGTCTCCAAAGAATTTTCAAAGATTTACTCGTCCATGCTGTCTAAAATAATTAGAAGAGCCAAAATAAAATACTACGAAAATAAATTTACCCAAATTAAGGGCAACATTAAGAAAACATGGAGCACTATCTCCCAAATATTAGGATCTAAAAAGATTTTGAATAAAAAACCCATTCTCCTATCCAATAACGATGGTGTGCTTTCGGCCTCAGACACTGCTATTGAATTCAATAGGTTCCCATTGGGACATCCCTTTCTCATGATATTCCATCCTCACTCACTAATATTAAAGACTACCTTACATGTAACTATGCAGAGTCTCTACCTAGCTCCCGCTAATTCCTCTGATGTTAATGAGGTAATCCTTTCCCTTAAAACTAAGTCAAGCGCCCTTGATGAGATACCATCTTTAATTTACAAAAAAAGTCTCCAGATTTCTAGCTCCTGCCATTGCAATGCTCTTCAACAAATCACTTAAACTCCAAACCTTTCTGGATATTCTAAAAAAAAAAGCGAGAGTAACCCCAGTCCACAAATGTGGTGATCTCACTGATGTCAACACTCTATAAATCCAACATTATGTTTGCAACTAATCCTCTATGTATGTACTTTTACCTGAAAAAACATTTGATTTGATTTATGTGTAAAGTTTCAAGTAAAAAAGCAATTACAAATATATAAGGAGGTGGTAGGAGAAAATATGCGAGGGCACGTGGGAGCCCCACAGTACACCCCAGGGTGTTACTTATTCTCTTCTTCGAGGCTAAGGGTCCCTACAAACACTAAACATTCCCAGTAGACAACCCGCAGCAGCTCGCCGCTTAGTAAACAAAGGCATCAGGTGCGAGTAAGCGTCTCGTCCTGACCAGGAATAAACACCACCACCTCACCACACCACACTAAGTAAAAGTATTAAATCGGTTCTAAGGAATATAATATAAAAACAATAGTTGGTGTTGGCCCTGACTTGTGTTTGCTTGTCTTCGGTCGTAGAGTAGGATGTATAATGACTACACATTATCCACATGATAATGTATAATGATCCACACGTTGCCACATCAGATGATAACGAGACGACGACATTTCGGTCCGTGCTGGACCATTATCAAGTCGTGTGATCCGACTTGATAATGGTCTAGAACGGACCGAAACGTTGTCGTTTCTTCATCTGATATGGTTATCATATCGTCAGCCAGGTTATTGTGACTCTTCGTCTGCAAGTAGGATGCATTGTCGTACAAGAGTCAGCACACTCGGTTTGCAAATCTGGAAGTACTGGGTTCGATTCCCGGGTGTGGCGATCCAATTTGGATACGTTTCCATACACATAATGCCTGTTCACCGACCAGTAAATATGCACGCCGGTGTCAGCAGACTATCTCGCAGTGGGCACAATATGCATAAGTGTAATGTTGTTTCAACTGTAGCGAGCGAGTAAACCTTATATTCGCTCCACGTTCAATACCCGTTACTCTTGGATACTGAGCCCACTGGATTATGTTGTATCCTGACGAAGATCAGTCGTTATTCATGGCTAGGGGGACCTCGTTAAGTTTAACGAGCTTCATGGACCTAATGATGAGAAACCGATTTATAAGGTATGAATATTTAAAGTCTACCTTTAATATAAACATTTTACGTTTTTTATAAAGAATATATATCTTTTTAAAGGAATAACTACTCTGTTATTTACCTGAGGTCCACTAACACTCTAGTGGCCTCGACGAGGACAGGAAGCTGGCGGCTTGTTAAAAGAACTCCCTGATTATTTTTTCCAGCTGGATTTTAACAATTAACAAGAGTTTTGGTATCTAACTATTTATCTCTCTTTAATCCCTAGTCAGACTAAATATGTGCAAACACTCCATGCAAATATAAGGGCCCAGTGTTTGGAACTCACTCCCTGATGAATTTTTTTTTTTTTTTTTGAGATATATACAAGAGTTGTTACATTCTTGTACAGCCACTAGTACGCGTAAATTGTCCAGCCTATGCCCTATTCAAAAGTAAAACCAAAAAGTATTTAATTTCATCCTAATAGTATCAAATCAAATCAAATCTTTATTCAGGTAAAGTACATACATACAAGGGGGTGATACAAAAATTGATAGATTTATAGATAGAGCTAGTACATACAATGCCTAAAGCCACTATTACGCAAAGCATTTCGGGCAGGATATCCTACCTTGTGCTTCAAACTCACACTGTGTCTTGTACTACCCACTTCCCCCAATATTAGTACTTAAGACATATATATCCTTGCCAGTGTAATCACCTCTGTCAAATTATATTGTAGTTATTTGTTGATATAAAACCTTGCTACAATGTACACTTCCATCTTACCTGATATGTTAGATTTAGGACCTGCCCGAAACGCTATGCGTTAGGCTTTGCTTGAATGTAAAAATATCAATCTTGTGTAATCTCACTAACCTATTGTACCTTGCTAATAAATTATTATTATTATTATTATTATTATTATTATTATTATTATTATTATTATTATTATTATTATTATTATTACGGCTTTGGCAGTTTCAGTTTAGTTCATTTATTATGCACCCCATACCCATCTTGTGGGCGGTAGTGGAAAGGGTTACAGAGGCACATAATGGGTTCAGGGACTGAACCCCACAATTCATTTAGCTAAGCAAGTTACAGTTTTGATGAGCTAGTTACAAAATTCAATATACGTCGTCACACGTCACAATGGGTTCGTGATTGGCCAAAAGTACAGTTTCTAAATTAAGCAACAGACATATGTGGAGAGCCTAGTGTCACAATTGATATGTTTGTCCTGCACACCGCCCCCCATCCAGTGGGCAGCGGTGGATAAGTTACAATCACTTAGTTACTACATACAGTTAACAAAATCAGTGTCCAGTTGATTTTCTCATTGATATATATCACATTAGTGTGATTTCTTTGTGTATCAGTAATATATAGCGATCCTTCATTATGTTCCTTCGCATGTTACTTCATTATCTTCAAATGTCTCTTTTTCATGTTACTTGTGTTATCTTCAAATGTTTCTCCACCATGTTGTTACTTAGATTTAATGCATTAACCACAAAAATATAAAATTAATGATGTTTCATTGATGGCGTACTTAAGTATTGTGTGTGTGTGTGTGGGTGTACAGGAGGCGAGCCGTACATAGGGGTGCCAGCCACCCTCCGCTACCCGCTCTACGACGAGACGACCGGCCACCAGAACTTTCCCTTCAGGACTGTGGCCATGACGGTCTCTCTTACCAGCCTAATCCTCGTCTCAGCCATCGCCAAGTTCCTCTTCACTCGCGGCTTCTTGCCTGCCAGGTAATGTTGCCCGTCGCAGACGACGAGTCACAATAACGTGGCTGAAGTATGTTGACCAATCCACACACTAGAAAATGAAGGGACGACGACGTTTCGGTCCGTCCTGGACTAAGTGATCGACTTGAGAATGGTCTAGGACGGACCGAAACATCGTCGTCCCTTCATTTTCTAGTGTGTGGATTGGTCAACAATGTTACCCGTCTCTTAACAACACTAGCTCATTCACTCGACAGTGAAACCGTGTATTTCCATTTGTACAATCTATACAATTAGTACCATATACAAAACTTGATTAAAAAAGTCGAAAATATAATAAATATTATATATTAATCGAGCATATAATATTGTTCCTGCATTGTTTAAAATAATATTCCTATGTCATTCTAACGAGACACTGGCTTCCAGTCTTGACGTGTGCGAATGCTTCGACCTTGCGGCCAAAGGTAAACAAGAATCAGAAGACTTGGCCAAAGACACCCAGACTTCACCCAAGGAGAAAACCTTAGTTATGACGAGTATGGAGAAGAATATGCATCAGGTGCAGAGGGAAGAGAGAAGTACTGCGGCAGTATGAAGATGTTAATCCCTCTCAACCCAACACTTCCGGTTTATTCATGCCCGTGTCACCTCTTGGATGGCTTAATCTTCATCAATCAATCAATCAACCCATCACCAGCCCTCAAGCTGGGGCGTCGCTCGGCGCTACTCCTTAATTTTTTTTCAATTTATGACCAAATTCCATTATATATTCATACACGGAAGTGCGTTGACACTTGTAGTTCTTATATATTAAATCGTACTGATAGTGCTACGTATTTTTGAGTGTTTTAGAAATGATGTTATCTCTATGACAGATAACACATGTCTTATATCATTTTTACCTGAAGCAGTTAGGGGTCAACTGCACAGTGAACGTTGTTGCCCTGTTGGTGCATCGTGGGAACCCCTGTGGGCCACGGGCGCTCAGGGGTTCCACTCCTGGTATAGGATATATGTCATATCAGGGACGGATCTACTGTGAAACTATTGCAGGTTAAGCTTCAGGGGGGGTCCCTAATTCCGGAGGGGTCCCAGGAGCGGTTTTTAGTGTATGAGAAGAAGTTTTTAAACAAAAATATTAAAAAATAGTTAGTAGGGAAAAGTAGGATGTAAACCAACCCTTCACCGGCCTTGATGGATGACTGGCGGATGTACGCACTTCCGGTCGCTTGACGCGTGGGCGTTCTCCCCTAATTGTATGCGTGCGTAATTAGAGATGCTAGCTCTTGGTCCCCAGTCTTAGTAGTTTTCTATTATTCATTTTAAACAGTCGCATTTTGTACGTAGTAAAGTCCACTTACCTATGAGTTTATAAGAGTTCTTAGTCATTCCAGTGTACTTATATGTACTTACGTATTCATAGTTAGATGTATTAGGAAAAGCTTAGATGATTTGTTTGGGCCCAAGTCAGGTCCTAGTCAGATGGCCATGGCTTTCACTGGTTACATGGATCATTGGCCACTGTGGTCCGGTATCTGATCAGGTCTTCAATCTCCAACTAATGGGATGGATGAATGATGGTTGGTATGGCACCCAGCTCACCGTGCAAGCATGTGCCACACCTGAAAACGCTGATAACGCTGTTGTGATAGATCGTTCCTGAGCATACTTCAGCTTAGTATACTCATAGCTGGCTACTGCAACCTGAATGCACGACCATTGCATTCTGAATGCATTACGCATTCTGAATGCATTATGCATTACGCATTCATTTACGGTACTGCAACCTGAATGCATTACGACCATGGCCACAAGGTTCGTACTTCGTAAGAACTGCGACGCTGAATCAAACTGTTATAGCATGAGCCCATCTCCGTCGTGGACTCACCAGAGACGTGTCTTGTCTCTCAGCTAGACCACGGAGTGCTGGGAGTATTCGGGCAGTCTATGCTTGCTTTGCACTCCACTCCCTTACTACAATGCCCTCAGTGCCAGTCGCACCCATGTTCAGGATAATAGCAGCCGACCAGCCAGCGTAAGTTGGCGGAAAACATAATTATGTACGCTCTAAGGTGACCTACAGTAAGCAGGACGCATCTGAATGCTCCCTGGTCAAAAATGGCAGTGAATCCCTATGTCTACAAAGTATTATGAATAGAGGAACCAGAGCTCCCCAGAAGACTTAGTAGCAGCTCTCTTAAAGCAGTCACGAGATGTCAAGTATCAACGATCGCCAAGCGTTCCTGGTCTCTTCCAACCCAGTAAAGGGAGTAAGATGTCACTGCTGTATTATCTTCTGTTAAGCCACCTCAAGCACCAGCCTCCTGCCGTGACAGCCTCCTGCTCCTGGCCTCGCTTCAGACGCTGCTTGTCGTCTCCAGGAGCTAGGGCTTACTCCACGCCTACACCAATCATTGCGACATTCTCCTTATATATGTACTATGCAGTTGCCACGGTGCCCATGCATGTGGGAGTTGTGGCAACTGAATGTTAAATAAAACAAGATGAGTGTGATATTGGAGTTTTCACCGAGCCTATTTGATCATCTATATAATTTTTATTCCATTTCTTGCACATTTCTTCCACAAGCAACAAACATGCAGATTATTGATGCCGAATTACACACACTTGCCCCTCTCTCTGAGGTGGATCTTATGTCCAGCTTGATGATACGAACAAGGGAGCTATGGTGCATGTGATAAATCTGAAATTGTACTAGATTCTGTATTCCAGTATTCCAGTCTCTGTTGTCATGATCGCACTACTTCAAGAAACTAGGGCTGACAAGAGCAATTACTGACATTGGAAAGACAATAAGACGAGTATGCAGTTATAGATTGCATACTGCATATAGTTCATTCAGTTATAGTTTTTTCTGTATGGAAAAAAGTACGCGAGCAGTTATACCGGTAAGTTACCGGTATATATTTAGAACCGGGTATTATATGTTCTGACATTCACTAGAGAGTGTGACATTTTAATTGCCAGAGTTAGGCTGGGATGTCAATACTTGTGGCAGCTGGCTGAAGTAATAAATCCCTCGGCGGTTAACACTCCAAATCTAAACTATGTGAACACATTCCAACACCATGTGACGCCTCTCTTATCTGTAACTTTAGACCAAGTGGTACGAGGCACTTTGAGCTCGTTACTACTTCATACACTCGTGAATATTGGAAGATAATCTTGTGCTCTACCCAGAGTTTGCTAGTGCAGACTAGTAGACTAGACTCACATCTCGTGTTTTCCTCTGATTCCATGTATGACTAACCATCCTGTGAGATGGGAATATTAGACGAACTCTTGATCTATACTATGTAAACGTTCATATAGAATAGGGTACATTGTTGTGTATACTTAAGCTTACTAATATAATAACTAGAGGAGCAGCCCGCGCTCTGTTCAGTATAGATACACCTGAGTATCAATAGAAGGAATATGACGCTTCATGCCCACAACAAGAGGGTGCGCTGCACGGTAAACTACTGCTCACAAGTGTCCAGACTGATTGTACAACTTTAGATTCAGGAAAGACCCGGTTGTTGTTGTTTAAGATTTGCTACCTGGAACAAAAAGTTCCAAGTAGCACGGACTATGGTGAGCTCGTAGTGGACTTAGAAAGACCCGGGTAAATCTTTTGTTTCCAAACACTAGTTTGGAAACAGGATAGTTGATTTATGGAACGAATTAACAGGTAACATAACAATGTGACCGCTGGACTGTTTTAAGCACAAGTTAAACATATATGAAAAAGTATGGGTGGATAAAATTAGGAGCTGCCTCGTGTGAGCCAATAGGCCTGTAGTTTACAACATTCTTATGGTCTTTCGAGTATAAGGATTTACAACGAACTAACCATCGCTGGAAGCACTATACTCAACCTCAAATCCCAAGTAGTAGATATTGCATCTAGATGACAGTTTGCTCCTCGAAGATGTCAAGGCAAACGTGGTACTGCTGTTTAAAATACACAGGTGCGAATTGGCAAGTTGATCACTCGACAAGCAGGCCTAAAGTAACTCAATATTCTAACCAAAACAACAGTGTATCCGACATTATACATTTTGAAGATTCGTGTGAGCCAATAGACGAACTCTTGATCTATACTATGTAAACGTTCATATAGAATAGGGTACATTGTTGTGTATACTTAAGCTTACTAATATAATAACTAGAGGAGCAGCCCGCGCTCTGTTCAGTATAGATACACCTGAGTATCAATAGAAGGAATATGACGCTTCATGCCCACAACAAGAGGGTGCGCTGCACGGTAAACTACTGCTCACAAGTGTCCAGACTGATTGTACAACTTTAGATTCAGGAAAGACCCGGTTGTTGTTGTTTAAGATTTGCTACCTGGAACAAAAAGTTCCAAGTAGCACGGACTATGGTGAGCTCGTAGTGGACTTAGAAAGACCCGGGTAAATCTTTTGTTTCCAAACACTAGTTTGGAAACAGGATAGTTGATTTATGGAACGAATTAACAGGTAACATAACAATGTGACCGCTGGACTGTTTTAAGCACAAGTTAAACATATATGAAAAAGTATGGGTGGATAAAATTAGGAGCTGCCTCGTGTGAGCCAATAGGCCTGTAGTTTACAACATTCTTATGGTCTTTCGAGTATAAGGATTTACAACGAACTAACCATCGCTGGAAGCACTATACTCAACCTCAAATCCCAAGTAGTAGATATTGCATCTAGATGACAGTTTGCTCCTCGAAGATGTCAAGGCAAACGTGGTACTGCTGTTTAAAATACACAGGTGCGAATTGGCAAGTTGATCACTCGACAAGCAGGCCTAAAGTAACTCAATATTCTAACCAAAACAACAGTGTATCCGACATTATACATTTTGAAGATTCAATTTCAACATACGATTCTATTATTGTTGACAAAATATGTAGGAATTTATGACACTTCAATATAAAAGTTCAGTATAGGGTTCTCTACCATTAGGTTCTAAAGTCTGGACTACTTCAGTACCTTTGAAAATACGAAATCAAAATGACTTTGGTTTGATAGGGGCATAGCCCATATCTAGAGAAGGATAGGAGCCTAATCCATAGCTAGATGAGGTTGTTAGGGGCACAGTCTACATACAGGTAAAGAGGATATATTGGTTAGGGACATAGTCTGTGGGTAGAGTCGTATAGGTGGGGTCGTTACCGCACAGCCATAGGTTGGTGGGGTTCGCCACAATTCAAGAGAGAGAGACAGCCTGCCAGGGTTACATTCACCCCCCCCCCCCACCACCACCACCATCTTTGGTACTGCCCGCCGGCTACACACCTAAATATTTTGAAAACAAACATTTCAAAACAATGTTTTCTTTTTATGCACCATTATTCGCTGATCTCGAGAAAATTAACATAATATGCCCGTAGTCGCATAAAACAGACGATCCTAAGAACTAGTACACAGACGACACAGCTCTGGCTTAGGCTACTTGACCCGCTCCTGTGCCAGGTAAGTTAAGGGCTCACCATAGCCTGTGCTACTTGGAATTTGCTCCGAGTAGCTGAATCTATAACAACAACAACTCTGGCTTAGCTATGTTAGTGGGCCTCAGGTAAATTAATTATTATAATCCCTCACGTAAAGGTAGCAGTGCAATATGCTTACTGTGTACCTCAGCTTGTCAAAACAAAAAGGGGTCCATAATAATTAAACTAAATTAAAAGATGAGTAATATATGAGACTTTTAAAACTCAAACTATTGTAAACTTTGTGATGTATCAAATATACATTATTTAAAAAAAAAGCATTATTATTAATGCTTTAATACTTTAACCACCGAAGCTGTAAACGCCAAAACGCTGCTGGGTTTTAAGATACAGCTGGAAAAGATTATCAGGGCAAATGACAAGCCGCCGGCATTCTGTCCTCATCGAGGCCCTCAGGTAAATTAATAGTGTATTCGCTGCTGGCAACGTTAAAAACGTTTTGCATGCCAAGGACTCTCGAACCTTGCATGGGTAGAGCAAGGCAATCAATCAGCAGTTGCTAAATTTTGTATTTTCTTCTCATACATGCGATAAAAAGATTAGTACAAGTGAATGTAAACTTCAGTATCTCCCCTGCTAAATAGGGTACGTGAAATGTCACATAATGACAACCTCATTCGGATTTATATTTAATACTTTGAACGAGGTAAGTGATTGTGTAAACGAGATTTGTACCCGCTGGCGGCAGAGGCGCGCCCTGGGCGGGACGGAACACGGGTTCAATACGTGTTCAATGCTTCCAGTGTTCGGGTCACAAAAGATGATAGAAACAGCTACTCTATCCTTTTGAGATGTATTTTGTTGTCTCAATAAACGTACTTGAACTTGTTAACAAACAAGAGACTGTATTACAACCTAGACACCACTACTCACAGGTTGGGTTATACGGGGAGTATAACAACTTAAAGCTTTACTACTATAAGCTACAGCTCTCACTCGAGAAAGCTAGCGGTGATCTACGAGCTTGGGTTCATAAAAATGTATAAAATGATAATGAGAGTACATGTGCAAGCTTATAATCCGACCTATAAGGGCGAGGACTGGGGCATGAGATGATAGGAATCGCGTTCGACCAGTTCTGTCCCGCTGTTATAAGTTTTTAGGCATAGGTTAGACTTAATGAAAATAGATATGTCAGGTGAATGTGCTGTCTGATAGACACGCAGACAGATGGACAGACAGATCAAAGAAACTTTCAACTTCCAAAGCCACGTACGTAATAAATATATGTACTGTACAATAAAGTTGCAAAATTTTAAATCAAGAATATCAACTACAGCGAAACGCCTGGGAATAAAGATGCCACGTTCACGCTTTACGCGAATAAGCAATACCATAAACCTATCTCTCATCTCTTAACTACTTCCTATAGTGTCATAAGTGCCATGCTATTATTGAGTGTTCGAACTTCCCGCCAGCAGATTCGAACGCCACCATGGAACAGCTGTTTGAGAACCACAACAACAATGGCAGAGGCTCCTGGTGACAACACTCAACCTCTCAAGTATTCAATCCATAAGTTCTCCACTTACTCTTCCAATTATGTCCCAGAGTGAGTATGGAAGGAGGAGGGAGATGGCTAGTGTGAGGGGGACCAGGAGGAGGGGCACAGGGCCCCAGGTAGAGGTGCCCGTGGCCCCCAAGAGTGCTTGGGCATTTACAACTCTTCCAATTTCTTCTCTTTTATTACCTAAAATCTTCAGTGAAATTCTGCGGTCATCGGTCTTCAGATGTCTTAGAGAATATGCTGTGTTAACAAGGTTTATAAGGCAGCCTAGCAGGCTGTTGCTGTTCCGTCTTGTGCATCAATGTCTTAACAATTCCGGATGTCTTGTTAAGAGGTGATTCACAAATCTTAAGATTTATAATATATCCATTGTGGCAGTAATGTTAGGGCCACATGCCTTGTCTGCCACTATGGTATTTATATGTAGTGAATTACTCTCTTCTGTGTAGGAGAGAGGTGCCGGAGTTGACTTGATTTTCTGTTCTTTGCCAAACCTATTCTATCCCTTGCCTGTCCTCGCCTGATTGAATGCACCAGTCCTGAAAATCAGATTAATAAACGTTTGTTAGGTGTACAGTAAGGTAGACCAATTGAGGTTTACAGGTAGTCGTGTGAACTCCAAAATCTTGACACAATATAAAGAGGTTTCGGTGCTATATAGCCATCCTGGCTTAATGTTTTATTTTTATCTTTCTAATTTAAAAATGATTAGGTTTTGAAGGACATGCACAAATTATTAATTTAGCCAATAGTGACATCAGTTTTGTTATAGAGCTTTTGTAATAAAATTAATGTACCTGTATTATGCTGTAGTTCCATTAAATATCTTGGGTTAGAAGGATTTGTTTTATTGACAGTACAGAAAAGTTTTACTACAATTCACTCTAACTTATTTCAAATACTAAACTAGCCAACCCAAGTTAACTGGTTGATCAAATCTAGAGAAGTATGGCTAGATGGAGGGATTAAGTTGAAAATAGGTTACACATCTTAAAGATTCATCAATAAAGATTACACATCTTAAAGCCGTATGTGAATTCTCAGTCTTGATTGCAATGGGGATTTTCATTTCTTTATTCAACAGTTTTGTTAATATTGTTTCAGATTGTGATTGTTATCAACAGAATTTTGTTAGCCATTATTCTCTACTGGTATGTTTACCATGACTTGAACTTTGTATTTTCAACTTTCTGATTTACATGTCTTGATTTATGGGAGGAAAGCTTTCCTGGAAAAATCTTTTGCCGAGTAAATCTGCACAAATTAAACTTAGATTGTGGTTTTATATTAAAATAGTTGTTTCAGAGATCTTTCAAAGTTTTTCTCACCCCCCTCCACTATATCAATAAAACATGTAATTGAATATTATAACTAAAGAAATATCCTGGACTACAACAGACTGTACAAGTAGATTCAAGTAGAATACAACTACATGTATTACCTGTACCAATAACACATGTGTAGATGCTGCCTTTTGTTATTTCATGAGTAAATCTTTGAATGCAGCAAGTATTGTAGACTGTTATGTACAGGTATCATGATGCAAAAAAAAAAATCTGAAAGTGCCCAAGATGCAAGAAATTTCTACACAACTCTGGTCTGGCCTCGTCGAGGACCAGGCCATGGGGACGTTGAGCCCCAAAATCATCGCAGGGTAACCCCAAGGTAATCAGACCCCAGGCCGGGCTCTCGGTGAAGAACAACTCCCAGAACTCATTACAAGTACAAAATACATCTCCCTGCATTTCAAATTTTGGTGTTAAAATCTATATCTCGTGTGAGAGGTTCACATTATCTAAATTCGTACTTATTTAGGCTTAATATAATTGTACTGTATATGTGAAATGTGTTTTTGCATTACTGTACTTCTTTTTTTACTTGGTCACCATTCAGACTTTAATAATACATAATTTGTCATTATTTCTTAATTAAAAAATGTTATTAATTATTCATTATAACTTACTTTACATTAAGTTACTGATAGTAAAATCTACAGCTATCTGTTCTATGTTCTATCATATGTATGGAAGAGAGTAGCACTTACTGATGCTCATGGCAAAATTGACTTAACTGCTGTTTATATTTTTAAGGCTAGATTTTCTTTTGTTTATATTAGTCTTAACATTAAGCTTTGTAAAAGTGAAATATAAAACTCGACCTCATGCTGTATATAATTTTTTACAGAAATATTCTTGAAGATAAGCCAAACGATCAAGCATCTCGGTGGTCGTCTGATTCCAATAACCCTCCGCAGGTAATTCGTATATGCATTAATATTAAAGCATTAAAATGAATTTGACTGTACCAAGATAGCATAGCCTAGTCATGCACAAATGTTTAACATGTGCAAAAAATATAAATTTGGGATTCAGTTATATTTGTGATTTGGTTAAGTAACTTATATTATTATGAAAAAAGAAACTGATGAAATTCTTCAGTGCATAATTTACATCGTGCACAAAACATTTTGGAATGTGTTCATTTTTTAATGCATTATTAGTCAAATAATTATGCTTTTAATACTGTATGTTTAATTCATTTTTAATTTTTTTGGTATACTACACATTTCTACATATATTTGCATCTTTTCTTCAGTTCCTTACCCTGAAGCTTGAGAGGCCTGCTGTTCTGAAAACCATAGCTTTCGGCAAATATGAAAAAACTCACGTATGCAATATCAAGAAATTTCGAGTATATGGTGGACTCTCGGATGACAACATGATACTTTTATTGGAAAGGTACAATTAATTTGTCATTTTTTTTTGGTGTAGCTGTTGCTTTCATTTAAATTACAGTATTTAAATGCAACAAAATATTTACAAATAATTTTTTAATGCGTATATGACTCGAAGGGGGGGGGGGGCATCCAAGTTTATTGGTGCTGTAGAACAATAGTTACCACATGATGCTATTTAGTGTGGAAGCAATTATGGTAGATTGGGTGTTAGTCTGAATAAAATTTGTCTTCCATTTCTGATATTTTTTCTTGCTCGAGTTATTTCTCATACTGTACCATGAGGTTGGAAAAGTGGCTCATATGATAATGACATATATATACAAATAGGAAACATTTACTTCAGAGTGGTTCAACACTTCAAACGTTATAAACTAGACACCACTTAAAAAGTTCATGGGCTACCGATATAGATTATATGAAATAAAATTATAGCATACTTATGGAATAAATGTGACTCTTTCAATCTTTTGTTTTTCCTAACAAAACTAACTTTCATGTTAATGACTCATAAGTAATGCAAATTGAACTTAAAAAGATATACTGTATATTTAAATATAACTGACAAATATACTGTGTGTATAAAGAATAGAAATACAAAATCAATGGTTTGTTTGCACTCAGTATTTTTGAAGTAATATCATTTTTTGAGCTAGTTACTAGTTAGTTATCACGCCACCACCTGGTGATTGATTGATGACGATTATGCCACCCAAAAGGTGGCACGGGGATGAATACCCCCCCTAAGTGGTAGATTTTTTAAGTGAATGTGAACTTTGGTTGTGCACCACCTGGTGTCATCTGAGACTAAATAGTCACGAAGAGTTATCACCTCTCTCTCCCCATCTTCGAATGTACAGGCTTCACCATCCCAGCTTGTGAGGAATCACGTTAAGCTAAATGACTTGCGTTTATCCCAAAACATTGGTTTAATTTACATTTGAGTCAATATTTTAACATTTATCTTTTCCTGTACATGTTTACATTCTGTTGTGTGTCATGAGTTTTTACCAACAGGCTTTGCAGAGTTATCTTTTCAATGCTGATTGAATTAGGGTTTTAGCTGTGGTTATTTTCTTAAGTTGACTCTTTTGGAGTTTTGTGGGATCTTGTTTTGGAATTAATACTGGGCTCACTTGATTGAGTTAATTGAGTCATCATTCAATTATTGTTTACTTGCTTGCAAACAATGGCTATTGGCATTGTTGAAATCTCATGTAATAAGATATTGTTGCACTGTTCATGCAAGAGCCACCTTGTTAAGATACAAATTAATCTAGAAATTTAAAGACTGTTTATAATTACGTAATGGAGACATCTTTCACTTTGCAGCGGTTTAAAAAATGACACAGTTCCCGAGACATTCCTATTAAAACATACTGTCTCAGGGCACCAGTTTCCCGTCCGATTTGTGAAGATTGTCCCGCTTCAGGTAAGTGAAAGACAGCGTTTTCAGAAGAGCCTTATTTCTGATAAGTTTATCATAGTGGCATTAACACTTTCGCGCTATCTGGACGCGCCGGCGCGTTCGGTTTCGTCTAACGTAAACGCATAGTGGACATAAAGTTATGTCTACTTTTAAAATATTTGTATAAAATTCAATTTTTATCCGATTTACTTTGGGTTTGTTTCAAACTGCTTGCTATGAGGCTCTCTTTCTCACCACTAGGCTGCATGGTACAATAAGTTCATGAAAGGTGTGGATAACTTCGATCAAATGGTATTTTGTCCCAAACGGGTTGCAGGTGGGTGACTTTAGCCGTTTATACTGGTAATTCTTCCCCCATATCATGTATTATATGCATATGTCTGTTTAGGGAATTTTATTCCAATCAATATACAACCAAAAATAACTGTGTGCAACAAGTATAATCTTGACAAACATAACAAAAGTAAAAATATTTCGTGTGTGTTTGACGCTCACTGATATGTTCCAGCGTTGTTTTATATTTGTCGCTATTCTAACTTACGCTTTGTTGATATTTTTTACCTATGGGCACATAGAACATTCTATTGCGAACACATTGACATAAAAATGAATGACGTACATAGAAAATTAATGTCATGAGAGTGAAATAAGTATAAACTTTCAAAGCGCCGTGCGTCATCCCGTCACCGATACCGGGTAACAATTTCACCACTTCCCACACTCTTGCGGGCGGGCTGCATCATTATTCTACGCTTATATTCATATCACCGTGTTGGGAATTTCATTGCGAGTTCATTGGTACCAAAATTAACGCTGTAGAACAAGTGTGGAGGTGATTACAATCCCAAGAGTAAAAACATTTTGTTGCCGATGGGCGCTCACGGCGAGTCATCTACGTAGTTATTTATTTGGTGCTGGTATCCCTATATGTTTCGTGACTTATTTTACTAATGTTCTTCTAGAGAATTTTATTGCGAACACGTTGGTACCAAAATGAAATACGTAGCATGAGAACTAAGGTCAGAAGAGTAAAAAGAGTATACACATTTTTGTTTTTACGCTTAAGCGATAAAAACGCAGCGCGCACATTCGGTTGGCTGAGTGACCTTTGCGGAGAGCGCGAAAGTGTTAATAAAGGTAAAGACCCTTGACTCAATGTTAGTTCCAATTTCTTTATATGGCTTGGTTTTTATCTTGGCCCCTTGAGATAATGCTTCATCTCATTTGTATCATGCAGTCTAAATTAATTACCGGTATATACACATTAACATTAGCCTGACCAAGATATTGAATGTTATAGTTTCATAAGTTAACCCTCATAGGTAACTAACATAAATATATACATATATTGGTGTATACAGTACTGGCAGCCGGTTTTCATTTAGACATGTTTCATTGAATATGACTGCATACGGGTCTTGGTAGTACAGTCGGGTTCGTTCTCGACGCACAATCGAGAATTCCAAGTTTGAATCTCGGGCGGGACAGAAATGGTTGGGTACATATCCTTTTGCCTAATGTCTCTGTTCACCTAGTAGTGAGTGGGTACTCAGAAGTTAGTCAACTTGTTGTGGGATTGTCTCCTGGGCAGGGTCAGTAATTCGGCCTTGCAGGGGGGGGGGGCGGGGACTTGATAAAAGCCAACTATGAATGAATACACTCTGGCTTCCTGTCTCCTGATACAATGAATTATAATATGAATTATATTCCATGTTAATTATTCTCTTGTTTAGGGCTTCTATTCCTCTGACTTGTGCTCTTCCATCTTGGTTTAACTGGAAGAGGATTTCTACAAGTGTAATATTTGTTCGAGGTTGACTAAAAGAATAAAAATTAACTATAGAATGTTATAAATTTACACTTTGTTGTAAATTTACACATTGTTTTGAGTCTAGAAGGTTCATTCTCAAGTGAGGAGACAGGATTAATTGATTGATGAAGATTAAGCCACCCAAGAGGTGGCACGGGCATGAATAGCCTGTACCACGTAAAGGACACAGGTTGTTGTTGTGTTTCTGGTTAGCCTAAAAGGTTGTATTTTTTATGGAGTGGCAAATTAAATGAATGGGCTGGCCAGGTTATAATTACGTGATGAAATTTAACCGTTGTTTATCTGATATGGTAGATAATTTTATTTATCTGATATGATAGACTTTTAAAAGGTAATTTTTTTAACTAGGACAACCTGGTGAGTGTGCTTTGTTCTTGTTATTTGCCAGAGAAATATATTTAAGTTGATAAAGGGCTCTATATGCCAGCACCGTTATATATAAATCTTCACTTTTCAGTCTTGGGGATCAACATTCAACTTCAGCATCTGGCATGTGGGGCTTCGTGGTTGTGATGACTGGGCTGTGGTGCAGAAGTGTATCAACTGGTATACAACAGTAAGTACTCTACATTTTGTGTTTTTGTATTACCTTTTTCTTCTTCATTGTCATATTTCTCTTTCTTTCTCCTTATTTGTATTATCTTTTTGCACACAGAGAACTTTACCATATTTTGCAAGTTGATACAATACATATAGGTGAAATTGTCATAAATGGTAGCACATTATTTTAAAAAAACCATCTAGAAGTGTAAATTATATTCGGTTTTAATAATTAACAACATAGTGTGTGTAGGTAGTGGGAAATATACGGGACTATTTTTTCACTTCTGTCTTCTTTTTAGTACCGGGAAAGAGAAGCTATTCGGCTGTGTCTGAAACATTTCCGTCAACATAACTACTCTGAAGCATTTGAATCCTTAGAAAAACGAACTCGGGTTACTTTAGAAGATCCTCGTTTGACACAACTACATAAGCTGCTCGTGGAACAGGGAGACTTTGATGCATGTGAAGAACTTATTAGCCAGGCTGCCCAAGGTATGTACTGCCTCATGTGGTGTTCATACTCGAAAAACAATGAGAGTTCCACTGGAGTACTGCAGGTTACTGGTTTGATCAATGATCAAATTGTTTGTGATTTTGTGATCAGAGATTCATTTGTGAATAACAATCGCCATACTATATGGGTATTAAATAATTTTGTCAAAGTTTCCACTCTGATCATTAAAACTTTGTTTAACCTGTGCAAGTGTATTGGTCTTTGTATATCAAATACTTCGGTGTCTATATATGATAAAGCTTACCTCGGTAAGCAAGATGTTCTGTCAGAGAAATTCATTTCCATAGATAGGGTACAGTTTTTTTATGGATGATAATAGTCCAACATATATAGTATATCAGTATCAAGTATATTCATTATCTCACTTTGTCTTGTAGCCACTCATTTTCATTGCCTCTGGTACTGTTGTATATTTTTCATAGCACTATGAAAGTCATGCATGATATGTGTGGGAATATGCAATGTAATGCATTTGTGTAGAGTTTAGTCTCGCCTATTTTGAATATCTAGTTGAAATCATGAGTGATTTTCAGTATCTTATTCAAAGCATTACTTGTATACAAAATAATAAAATCAATACAAATATGTTACCCACTTAGTAGTACAGTACATTAGATTATCAAAAGTCTGGACTTCTGTTCTAGATTCCTGGATTTTGAGAAATTTTACATTTTTATTATTGGTTTATCCGTTTTGGGAGGGTTTCTATGGAAAATTATAGAATACATTTTTCTGGGAGATACCCCTATATGGCTTCCTGAACTTAGTTCTGGTTCCACCACGCCTTAGCTCAACACACCTGGTCTTTGTGACCAGTCTGTTGCTTACTGAAAGGCAGGACCAGAATATGGCTCACTCTACAAGACAATAGAAGCAGAGGATCAGAGCTCAACCACAAAACTGGGAAAATCCACCAGAAAGCATAGGCACAACAAAGCAACTGCGTGAATGAAATTAGGCAACCCCGAGATTTTCCCCACTGCTGTTGGGTAAATATCACATGATCCACCAGCCTGCCACCAGATGGCAGTCCAAGTCATCTGAGGTGTTGGCCAGCCTGCCCCCCTTCACTCTGGAGTCACCTGTGCAAAACCCCACAGGCCTATGGGGAAGAAAGAAATAGGGTGGGGAATGGACCACGGGAGATCCTCCAAATACATTTGAACTTGTATAGGCAATTCTCACTCCCTGTTACATGTATTTATTTATGCAAAGAGGGCAACTATTTGATTGATGACCAAACATGTAGAACTCTTAGCCCATTATTTGAGTGTTGTTTCTGACATTTAGCTTTTGAAGGTTTAATGTTGTTAAGCCAAATATTTGGTATTTTTGCATATGCTAAGACCCCTGAATGGAGTTGATAACAGTGAGTGGTTTATTTTAAGATAACATACAAACTTAAAAGTACAGTATCTCAAATTTGTCAAAGATAAACTTATTTTGGACAAAATCTTTGTACTGTATATATGTCTGTATGTCTGCATATGCAAGTACAATATACTCAAAAGTGCTCATGTTAACATGGGCTTGTTATGTGTGACAATTATAATTAATAGGTAACCATTAATTTGTATTCCATACAGAGGGGTTGTTTCAACAGTACATTAGCCAGCAGGAGTACAAACCTCAATGGACACCCATCATTCCCTCTCCTGGAGGGTCTGCCAGTAGCCGTCAGCGGCCGGGTATGAGGGGAGGTCACCAGATGTGTATCGACACCAATACACAGGTGCGAACCTTTTTGTTTTTCCATATGGCATATTCAATTCAAATGAATTAACAGTAGTAATGCTGCTACTTTTACAAGACATTGTTCTTTCTCATGATTACTTTCCTGTTTTCCTTTTATTCTGAGTGTGTAAATATCCTCCGGATATAATTTTTTGAGTGTTGTATGCCATACTTTCCTGTTTAAATTACTAACTGTGTCTTCATGAATATCCATGAAAGAAATTAATTTTGCTTTTGCTATTTTTTTGGAGGAATAAAATATTAAGCGTTTAAATTATTACCGTGCACTTGCAATACAATACAGCGGCAGATTTGTTCGTTTACAGAATGTTGATTTAGGCATGTTTATTTTTTTCTTCAGACTATATACCTGTTTGGTGGATGGGATGGCATGCAGGACCTTAGTGATTTATGGTCTTATCACATACCATCTCAGGAGTGGACTTGTATTACCAGAGACACTAATGCTGAGGTACAGTACTCTGTGTGGTAGTAATTTTATTTATTGCACCACTTGGCGATCTGTTACCCACTTGTTAAACCTCTACCACACACAACACCATATGGCACTACCATACACACTTGTAACACCATGTGACAATTTGCCCCACACACTTGTAACACCTATTTATCTACCCCCTCCCCCACACATATAAAATGCTACTTGGTGATCTACCACACAATACCTCTTGGTGATCGACTACACACTTGCAGGACCTTTTGGTGGTCTACCACACACAATACATCCTGGCGAGCTGATTAGCAAAATTGCAATGCCATTTTATCTGCTACACATTTGCTATATTCAGTTGGCCATACCAACACATTCACATGCAGAATTCACGTCCACATCCGGTACTCAGTCAAATCAGCAAGTCAGCCATGTCAGTGAGTTCATTCAGTTTTCAGGTTTGTCACAATTGGGGATCTTAAGTTTTATCCCCAGGTTGGGGAGAAATGGTTGGGCACATTTCCTTTCATCTAATACCTCTGTTCACCTAACATATTTTGGTAGCAGTCTTTCTTGTACATATTTGTTGTTGAGAATATGACCTAAAGGGTAAGATTAATGATTCTAACACGAATCTTCTCAATATTTTGTATGTTTATTTTGCACTTTCGAGGGAAGTTGAAAAATTAACTCTCCAGTTAATAAACAGAGTGGTAGACTGTTGGAACAAGCTAAGTGAGGTGGTGGTGGAGTCCAAAACTGTCAGTAGATTCAAAGTGACAAAGAGTACTGGGAAGACGGGACCACATGAGCATAGCTCTCATCCTGTAACTACACTTAGGTAATTACACACACACATACACATATATATACAACTATATATATATACACACACCCATATATACATATATATATACACACACACACATGCTTCCTGTTTGTGATAACTGGAATTATTAAATTATTGTAAGTCAGACAAGTAAGACAGTCTAATCAGTCAAATTAGTAAATCAAGTTGCAATCATTAAGGTAAATTGGTAAAATTTATAAATCAATCAAGTCAGTTGGTGTGTATCTGCTAAACCAATCAGTTAATCAAGTTAATTAGTTTATCGCTTAATTTTTTTTTAATAGTCAGTCAAATCAGTTAATCAGTATCGGTCAGCCAGGAAGACAGACAGATAAACAAAGACAGTCAGGTTTACGCAGGTCAGTTAAGTTGTATGACTTAATATAAATGTATTGCCTGATGGACGGAGCTATGTTGCACTTGTCCCAGACCTGTAAAGAGTGTACAGACTCTACCACTAGACCACCGCTAACTTGTAAAAGTCATACAACCGGATTTCTACTGAAATCGCTGGAAAGTCTGGTGGCCTCTTCTGAAGCTAGTCCAGGTTTTATATATATGACCCGCAAGCAGTAGGGACCTCCAGACTTCCTGTGATTTCAGTAGAAATCCGGTTGTATGACTTTTACGAGTCAGCGGTGGCCTAGTGGTAGAGTATGCGGCTGGCAATGCCAAGGTCGTAGGATCGCGCCCACCTCATTGCCCTAGTGAATTTTCTAATTGATATATATATATCTATCACATTAATGTGATATCTGTGTGTTAACAAAATGAGTTTTAAATATCATATCTATATTTTGTGGCTGAACCCACAAAGCCAAGTTAAAAATATTGTACTGTACTTAAAATGTTTTTTTTAGTTCATGCTGTCTTGTCTAAACATACAATAAATCTCCTAAAACGTTGACATAGGGTGGTCCTAGTGCTCGTTCCTGTCACAAGATGTGTCTGGATCCTGAGCGGCGGCAGATTTTTACTCTTGGTCGCTATTTGGACTCTGCCCTACGGCTTCCAGAGAACCTTAAAGTAAGTTTACACCAAAAATCTATTGGAAATCTGTGCCTCGGTTAATTAATTCAAATGAGTTCATTATTTTACCAAAATTACAGTACTGTATTTATGAGACAATAATATATTTACTTATCCTGACAATAGACTTCATAGCCACATGTCATTTTTAGCAGGTGCTGAATTTTAGGCTTTTATTTTCAAGTAGTTATGGATGTGTTTATGTGACTTGACCATTGTTTATTCAACCATTTATTCTATATATTCCCAAAAAATTATTGTGGGAATAATTGACATTTTGATAAGGCACATCAACTTAACCCTTAAACTGCTAAGATATTTACAAGTTCTACATTGTGTTGCTCATGAAATAAGGTATTGGAGACCCATTGTGACCAATCACATATTGAAATTTAAGCACAGGAGGAAATTCCAGGTAGCAATTGGAGCTGTGTAGAGGTTAAAAATGAAATCTTTATTATCCTATTCATATATTTCAAAGATGAAAATTTATAACAAAAAACTTGTGAATTTTAGTTAAAAAGAAAAAGTTATATATTAATGAAAATACAGTAATAAATAAAATAGACAATTTTTCATTGCTGAATACACATTACTATACAGAATCACAAAATTTATTCTAAAATTCAATATACATGTACTATATAATACTGGAAGATTTCTTCCAGGCTTTGTGGTGCAAGTCAGGTTTAATCTCATTCATTGCATTTTGTTTTCCTTGCCCCCAGAGTGACTTTTATATGTATGACATTGAGAACAACAAGTGGACCCAAGTTACTGAAGACACGGCAGCTTTGGGAGGCCCACGACTTATCTTTGACCATCAGATGGTGATGGATGTTGATAAACGGATTATTTATGTCTTCGGTGGACGTGTTCTCACCCCCTCAAGATGGGAGGGGTGCGTTGGGGGGTACATAAATGTTGTTTTATATATGTATGCTTGCTTAGATTTCATACATAAAGTACTAATAATTATATTTGTTGCTCTTCTGTCTTAAGTTCTGTCTCTTATATTACATTACATTATATATATATATATATATATATATATATATATATATATATATATATGTATGTATGTATGTATGTATGTATGTATGTATGTATGTATGTATGTGTGTGTGTGTGTGTGTGTGTGTGTGTGTGTGTGTGTGTGTGTGTACTCACCTAGTTGTACTCACCTAGTTGTGTTTGCGGGGGTTGAGCTCTGGCTCTTTGGTCCCGCCTCTCAACCGTCAATCAACAGGTGTACAGATTCCTGAGCCTATCGGGCTCTGTCATATCTACATTTGAAACTGTGTATGGAGTCAACCTCCACCACATCACTCCCTAATGCATTCCATTTGTCAACCACTCTGACACTAAAAAAGTTCTTTCTAATATCTCTGTGGCTCATTTGGGCACTCAGTTTCCACCTGTGTCCCCTTGTGCGTGTTCCCCTTGTGTTAAATAGACTGTCTTTATCTACCCTATCAATTCCCTTCAGAATCTTGAATGTGGTGATCATGTCCCCCCTAACTCTTCTGTCTTCCAGCGAAGTGAGGTTTAATTTCCGTAGTCTCTCCTCGTAGCTCATACCTCTCAGCTCGGGTTCTAGTCTGGTGGCAAACCTTTGAACCTTTTCCAGTTTAGTCTTATCCTTGACTAGATATGGACTCCATGCTGGGGCTGCATACTCCAGGATTGGCCTGACATATGTGGTATACAAAGTTCTGAATGATTCTTTACACAAGTTTCTGAATGCCGTTCGTATGCTGGCCAGCCTGGCATATGCCGCTGATGTTATCCGCTTGATATGTGCTGCAGGAGACAGGTCTGGCGTGATATCAACCCCCAAGTCTTTTTCCTTCTCTGACTCCTGAAGAATTTCCTCTCCCAGATGATAGCTTGTATCTGGCCTCCTGCTCCCTACACCTATCTTCATTACATTACATTTGGTTGGGTTAAACTCTAACAACCATTTGTTTGACCATTCCTTCAGCTGTGTGTGTGTGTGTGTGTGTGTGTGTGTGTGTGTGATATATTTAATGATAACTGCATTATTTATTTCTATATAACATATTCTTCCACTTTTGAGTATTTCCACTCAAAGATTTCCTCTTTGCTTCTATAGTTGCTTGGGTCAAATATCTGTTTCTTAGCAAAACATGCTTTCTAACCTAAGATGTTGCTCTTATAAATATGTTTTAATAATCAAGTTGTATATGCTCAGATATTTGTTCTTGATTCAGTTTTCTTGTACAGTATTACTTCATACGATGAATGAACTCATGAATATGATTTGTGTGTGTGTGTGTGTGTGTGAACGAAAATCCAGTTCATGTAGTTTTAACCTATGATCCTTCACTATGTTTCATCCTATAGGCTAGGGCTGGATGAACTACGCAGCAGTAACTACACTCCCAGTGAAGCTATTTTCTCGGGTCTTTATGCCTACCACGTAGCCACAAACACCTGGACCAAACTGAGAGATGATTGTTCTGGCAACTCTTCTGGTCCTCAAGACATCAAATCACGCATTGGCCACTCTATGCTGTTTCATAGTGTAGGTTTACAGGGTATATTGCATTATTTGTCATTTACTAATTGTTGCTTCAAATGGACTTTTTGCATTGATGTCCCATGTTTTAAGCTTACATTGCCATTTTGAGTGTCAAAACCATTAGACAAGTATACAGCCTATGTTGTGAATGATAAGCTTTATTATGGAATCTAACATTGGTGGTGAAGATATCTTTCACCTCAGGAGTTGTCACACTATATGCATCCTAATATGGTTCATAAGAAAGGCTAAGTTTAAAATTAAAATGTTGATGTAAAGAATACAGTAATTGCAACATTCTTGATCCTGATGTGCAGTTTAACAACAATATAAAATGTGATACAATGCTGAAGCTTGGAAGTCATGGAGATATGTTTGTATTGTATTAAGTATCACATTTTTCTTGGAGAAAATGGGTGGGCATATATCAGCTTTTGAACATGGAAACCTACAAGTGCTTCATTAAGGGATAATTAAATAATGTAGTGTGGAGTCAGCTCAGTGAAATTATAAGTTTAGTTTCAGTTGTACTCTCATAGGTAAGACTAGAATTATTTATATTAAATGAGATTATTTCACATGCTATATATAGTATACTATAATACAAACTATACCTATGAACAGTCAAGATAAGAGAGTTACTTAATGAATTACTCTATTTCCAATATTAACCTAAACTAATCAACATAACCCATCATGATCTTATCCTAATCAAACCAAACCTTGTTTAACTCATCTAGAAAGTTTGGAAAAGTATGGTGTCTAGGAGCTAGCAGGAAATAGAAGGACTAGAACAGATCCGGTAAGAATATTGAGCCTCAAACATGACCCTTGAAACTGTCTGCTATGGTGCTGGGCTTCAAATGACAACCAAATCAGAAAAGGCACCAACATAGACAAGGGATGGCAGGGGCTAGAAACTACTGGAATGAATGTCAGGTCACTTCATACTATCAAGAAAATGCCTAAAGATGGTGATGAAGGCTGTCTTCATACAAGCACCAGTAGATCTGGGCTAAAAACCACTGACATAAAGATTGATGGAGAGCCTGGAAATACCCCACAAAACTTCCAGAGACCAATCTTATACATGAGTAGAAGGCTCAGAAAGGAAGAAGTTAGGTCAAATAGTAAACAGGGGTTGAGAATCTGAGTAGAATCAGCCACATGGAAGTTAATGGAGGCAAACAGCCCACAAATCTCTCTAACTTTGCCAATACAGGCAACAGTATCTGAACTAGAGGAAACCAATAAGTTGTCTTCCACTTGGTTCATTTGAGACAGTGTGTTCAATGTAAAAATATCATGATTGGAAAACAAAGCCACATTAGCAGAAGTTTGTGATTCCACATAGATGCAAACATATCCACATTAGGCATGCAAAAAGGTATACATTTTCTACTTAAGGAGGCCTTGTCAACCTCCCATTATCATCCTCTTCAGATGGAAATGGAAGAGGTCATCCATAAGAAGTTACTTATCCTCATGAAAGTGAATTGCCAAGAGGAAAAAAAGCTGTGAAGTCAGATGAGGTGTTATGGCCACAGTAAAATACAACAATAGAAGAGACAAAAAACCCTCCACAATTCAAGCAGAGAACTACGGGAACATTCGGAGTGAAGCCTTGCGGAAGTGCCCCCTGGGAGAGAAAGAGAGAGATGCTTTCAAAGTAATGCATACAGCATCTTTCTCCCAGCATATGAAGATGCATCATCTCCAAACATAAATGACCCAAAAAATATTTGGTAGCAGTTGGAAACAGCTCAACAAATAGCACTGGGTGCGTCAATAAATAGCACGCGACAAAACCAGCTGTCAAACAAAGGAAGTGGTTCATCACTTTCAGCCAAAACCAACTCATAGGGAAACTATGCAGGCAAAATTGAGACTCCTAATGAGCCGCTCGAAAACCTGACGCGAAAGTTGATGCTTCTAAAACACTAACCGGATGTGGGAAGCCAACTGATCCTTGTGTATATTTGGCAGATAGACTGGGTCACCCCTTGTATCCCAGATGAACCCTAGTTTTACAGGTTCATATGCCACCAAGCTCCTTGGGTGTGTTATTGTGTTAGTTTTCTGGTTTTCGAATGATGTACCCCAGATCCATGAATATGTTACTCGGTTTTCCTTGGGGATTTTTTTTTTTATCCTGGGACACCAGGGAGCTTTGCCTTCTTCTCTTAGCATCACATCTTGCATTTTTATATTAGTTATTTATCTATATTGATGTAGAAAGAAGCAAAAAAAGTAATTTAATAATATTTATTCAATAAATTTTTAAAGTAAAGCATAATTTGCTTCTTGAGCAAGCAGTCAAGTGTTTTAACTTAGCACTAGGTTGTGGGGACTGAGAAGTAGAGGACATAATATCTGCCCACTCATGAGATATTGTATTTGAATCACAATGCATCAATTTGATAGTCTGAATTCCTGCCCCACTCACCCTCCACAAACTCTCATATACACATTGACCAATTTTTAAGTTTCTTGTACTTTCTTGTACTGTACCTCTTTCGAATTTTGAAAAATTTTGCCTATAGCAAAATCCTTCCTGATTTTAAGGCTTCCATATGTGGAAATTATGGATTTTTGTGGTTATTCTGTACAGTATATCCATTTTAAAGGTTTATGTAATATAGTATATTCATATTTAAAACAGCATATTATTTTCTTCTGCAGGGAAGTCGTCAGCTCTTCATTTTGGCTGGTCAGCGAAATAAGGAATACCTGACAGACTTTTTCATGTACAATATAGACACAGATACAGTAAGTTACATAAGTGATGGAACACGTAAGGACTCCTCATCTGTGCCTGCTGCTGGCTTTACTCAAAAGGCGACCATAGATCCTCACCTTAATGAGATACATGTTTTATCGGTTAGTTATTTCTCAATTGTATTTACTATATAACTTTGTTTCTAGGGGCCCATATGAAAATATCCCTGCAAAAAAAAAAAAGTGTAATCCCTTTGGTATGTGTTAAAATGTAAATTCGTGAAACTCATGTTGATGTAGCTCTAGTTAGAAGAAAACCCAGATAAAAAGAAATGTAACCAGAGGTCTGCAAGGAATGAAAGTACCGACTCTCATGAACAGATGTGTGATGATGGCATGATATAAACATGAAAGGTCAAGCAGTAGAGCAGTTGGAATAGAGAAGTATATGTATTGCAGAGAATAAGTCGCAAGCATTGCATACATATAAAATGAAAGTAAATCGACAAAGTTTTGGCCCATCCTGGACCATTAAAAAGTTTTCAAGTGTTTTGTTTGGAGAATAGAGAAAAAGAATTAAAAATATGCAAAAATGTGAGAGTCCAAAAATCAATGAGTCACAAGATTTTAGAATGTGTACCAAGATGCTTTGCTCAGTTTAAATGAATGATTGATGAAGTGCATGTAGTAAGAGTGCAGGAAGAGGGGATGAATGTCAGGAAGATGGAGGAATGTGGTGAGTTAGTGTACAAGTTCATAAGGCTTGAGGGGCTAGGTCGACAATTTCTCAACCTTCCTCAAACACTCATAATTTTTGTGCATAGTGTACGTGATAAATACTCCAACTTTTCATAATGGATCAATATCATAACATGAACAGGAAAAAATACAAGAATGTTTTGTTTTAAAAACTGAAAATTTCACAATTTCAAATTAAGCTGACGAATTTAATATTTCACCAATTTTTATTTTATTCATTATGGGTTCTGAATGGCATATAATATTCATTTTCCTTAATATAAATTTGAGAGTATAGTTTACTGTAAAAAAAAAAGTTAGTGTGGACTTCAAAATATGCACAAAATTTAGACGCAAAAATTTACAACTTCCAAAGTTATGGGTTTATGAATAAATGCCATTATGGAAACCTTGGAACTAAAAACTATGCACATAATATATAAAAATGTTGAGAATCAGTCTGAAACTGGATTTTTGACATCGTCTCAAAGTTGAAATTCCAGTTTTAGAGAAAATTGAAGTTATTATCGACATTGTCGTTATTATCGAAGTTATCAACAACGAATATGGTAGTTCTAATTCATGAATGTTCTTGTATGTTCTAATAAACATTGCTTGGCATTCATACTTGAATATGTGAAAGTTGCAGGTCAATATGTGTTGAAATGGAGTCAAGAAAAAATACCCCCACTCTTCCCATAAAATAAAAACTAAATATTTTGGGATGAGGATAATGGGTTAATAAGGATAATAAGTATACTTTATATAAGTGAGGCCCGCATCTGGTCCCCCATTTATTAATATAACCTAAATATACAAAAAAAAATAGTTTTAAAATCTGTAAATAACTCAGTCAAAAAAAATTAAGAGTGACAAGTTCTGCCACCTGTGGCTGATTTACGTGTTGACCAATTTCATTCTATCTTCACATCCTTAGTGATGGATATGTATTCTCCAAGATTTAGAAGCCACAACAAAATCAGATGAGAAACAAAGGAGAGGAAAAAAAATCCCATTAAAAATAAGAGTGTTGGACATTGGTGGAAATAACAGACATTGGCATAGGGCAATGTATTTATATGATATATAACAAAATACAGTATTGTAACATACAGTACTTACTCATTATTATTTGTGTTATGTAATACTTGGCAATGATAGAAAGGTACCAACTGCTTATCCACTTTGTGAAGCCTTCTTACTACAGTACTATTCTTCTTTTGTGCGTCGGACAGGTGCCTGCATCTCTTTATTACTTCATTATCTCACGGTTCCATTTAACAGGAGCTGTTCTCCTTATCATCAATTTTCTTTTTTTTAATCATATAAAATCCATTTCTTAACATATTGGGATGAAACTTTCACAATGCTAATGGCAAATAATTGGAGCTGCGTTTAACATTTTCAAGAAATTTTCATATAATTTAAATATTTTTTGAACTCCCGGCCCCCTTAAGCAAGAACAATGCATGGGATCAGGTAATTGACAAGGCATTGATTTTAAGAAGAGAGTGAATCTATTTGTTTCGTAGTATATATGTATAATAATAATATATAATAATGGTATTCATTAAATATACATAAGAAGATATTACAGTGGAGCACCATACACTTTGTGAAGCAGTGATTCTACTGGAGTATGTTGCGGATTGTTTAGCTATGATGCTCTATTGTGGATAATATAATGAATAATGGACGGCTATTTTTAATATTTGTAATTTTCTTTTTTCCATATTGGCCCCCATTTTTTTTACTGGGTGATGCTTCTGGAGTACTGTAATGATGATATAATTGGTTTTATTAACATTTTTTCAGGGCCTTAGTAAGGACAAGGATAAAAGAGATGAAAATGTTCGGAATTCATTCTGGGTGTATGATATATCTCAAAATAAATGGTAAGTTTTGCAATTGCTAAATGCATTCTGAGAGTTATTTGGTAGATATTAACACCTCCCTAATAGGAAACTCCTAAGAGGGAATAAGGAGTTGAGGTTATCGATAGATTGTTTTTAATAAAAGTACAAACTTGTCATAATTAAAAATGTAAGCCATTTTTAATACTTGCAATCCAGTGATGCTATAGTGTTCATTCCAAAAATTTATGCTTGTATTTTGACAATTAAAAAATGTGTCATTAACTCTATAAGTGAATTTTGTATCATGATGCACACTGTTCAGATTTCATGCTTCACGTGGGGGGGGGGGGGAGCTCAGCAGGCAGGCCGTGCCGTGGGCAGGTCCTCGGCAGGCCGTGCCATGGGCAGGTCCTCAGCAGGCCGTGCCGTGGGCAGGTCCTCAGCAGGCCGTGCCGTGGGCAGGTCCTCAGCAGGCCATGCCGTGGACAGGTCCTCGGCAGGCCATTCCATGGACAGATCCTCGGTAGGCCATGCCGTGGGCAGGTCCTCGGCAGGCCATGCCATGGGCAGGTCCTCAGCATGCCATGCCATGGACAGGTCCTCGGTAGGCCATGCCGTGGGCAGGTCCTCAGCAGGCCATGCCGTGGGCAGGTCCTCAGTAGGCCATGCTGTGAACAGGTCGTGCTCTTAAGTACCCTGTTGAACTCTGTGGGTGTTGTTGCCCATACTGTACCTTCTCATGTATTTGTAGTAATTTCTTTTGGAATCTAGTGGTACAGTAACTTTGTTACAATATTAAGTGAATATTGCATATAACCCTCCCCAAGGAGCAGCTGTTGTGAAAAGAACATATGTTATTGATGAAGTTACATACAGCTGCATTTGTTGTGAAAACTTGGGGAAGATAAGTTGATTATGTAATAATATATTAATTTTTTAACTAAAAGAAAGACATGACAAGCTATTGCAGGCGATGAGTCACAATTACGTGGCTAAAGTATGTTGACCAGACCACACACTAGAAGGTAGAAGGACGACTATGTTTCGGTCCGTCCTGGACCAATCTGGACAATCGACTTGAGAATGGTCCAGGACAGACCGAAACGTCGTCATCCCTTCACCTTCTAGTGTGTGGTCTGGTCAACATGACAAGCTATTGAACAAACTGAAAATGATTACTCTTTTAAACATTCATGTGCAGCAATTTGCCAGTTCATTATACCGGATTCACTTCAGAGAGTGGCATGCCAGAAAATCCTAACTGTGAATTAATATAAAAAGTTTATTTAAAGCCAAATGCCTGCATTAATTATTGGGCTTTATGAATTACTGTATTTGTAATTTTTTGCTGAAATATTCATTGCTAGTAGATAGGTTTAAAATCTTAAAAAAAAAAGGCATCTTGCTTTATGTAATGGGTTATTGATGCAATTTCACTAAAGAAAATACATAATGTAACATTTTGGGAGGCTACTGATAATGGAAAAGTTTTCATAATTGCAGTTCATTGGCAGATAAGAGCTGTGGAGTGAAAGATTTCTAGGAGATACTGTATAGTTTGGCTAAAGGACACTGCACAGTGGTGTAAGAATAAGCATGTTAATATACCCAAAGTGGATGGTTTAGCTGAAGCTGATTCTGCATCTTGAAAGAAAACAAGAATGTTTAATCTTAACCCTTGTGCATTCCCTCATTTCTTCATTTAGCACTAAACCACTGTGTATAGTAGGGCAGGCCGAGGCTTAGGACTCTCACAGGAATATCTCTTAAAAGAAAGAGAGTATCAGCAAGTACTATAAATGGTTATTCTTGGAGTTAAAATATTGTGTAAGTAGTAGGAACACAAAGTAAATAAAATTATACAAATCTGAAGCAAATTATATATAATGAAATTATTCCAAGTTTAATCATGTTTTCTTTCTTCAGGTCATGTATATATCGCAATGAGCAGACCGGGGAGTCATATTGGAGCAAAATGCAACATGTAGAGCCCTGTCCTCGATTCGCTCACCAACTAGTCTATGATGATACAAAAAAGGTCAGTGCTGTTTGTTGATGGGATGACTAATTTTGTGTAAATATCATATTTACACAAACTTGTTCCTTTAAGATTTCCTTCTCCTCGCCTCTCTTTTGCCTATTTATTGCCTTCGCCTCCTTCCCTCATCACAATCGACTTGAGAATGGTCCAGGAGGGACCAAAACGTCGTCATCGCTTCACTTTCGAGTGTGTGGTTTGGTCAACATATTTCAGCCACGTTATTGTGATTCCTCGTCTACATGTAAATATCACAGATATAATGACCAAACCACACATCAGAAAATGAAGACATGACGATTTTTTATTACATGACTTGATAATGGTGCAGGATGGACTGAATTGTCACTGTTTCTTAATTTTCTGATGTGTGGTTTGGTCATCGTATCTTCAGCCACATTATTGTGACCCATCGTCATCATAGATATATGCAGCTGAAGTTTGTGAATATTTTTTTTTTTTTAACCCTGAAAATGAGGCTGTCATCAAAATTTTCATCTTGCCTATGTAAGGGAATGTTCACCTTGGATGGTTTTATATTTTATTTATTACATTACAAGATGTAGTGTTTGCAACCCGTTCTCGCAAATTCGTAAAGTCAATATTGACTTATTAACTACGTGCATAGGTGATATACTAAACATAATAGATACCCTTAAAAAGATTCATAGAAAACACCAACCTTACCTAACCTTGTTAGTATCTTAAGATAAGCATCTTATTGCTTCGTAATTACAATTATTACTTAACCTATACCTATTATAGGTTAGGTAATAATTGTAATTACGAAGCAATAAGATGCTTATCTTAACATACTAAGTAGGTTAGGTAAGGTCGGTGTTTTCTATGAATCTTTTTAAGGGTATCTATTATGTTAAGTATGTCACCTATGCACATATTTAATAAGTCAATATTGACTTATTAAATTTGCGAGAACGGGTTGGTGTTTGTGTTGAATAACTCAATTTATGTATATAAAATTGGCAAAAGCAATGATTGCGTTCTCTATATAGGTCTACAATGTAATAAATATGTACACCTATTGTACTCAAATCTGTTCCTGACATAACTCAAAGAAGTGCTTTGTAACCCATTGTTTTGCTGCATTTCTGTTGGGGAATGTTGTCCATGATTCCCTCATCGCTGTTACAAAACGATTGCAGAAATTTTTCATGATCCTTGATTAACTTTAGTACATCCACATTTAGTTATTATAACTATATTAATATTATTGGTGTATAAACCAGGTAGTAATAATCATCAAATGACAATAATTGCAGAGGCCCAGCTGATTAACAAATAACAATAATTGCATGTCTAGAGTTAAAAAAATGGTGTTTATGAGAATTTTCATTCATTCAGTTTAATAAGGAGAATTCTTCAAATTATCTCTGAAAGGTTTATATAAACAGAGGTTTTATACCGACACTTAAAGATTCATCATAAGATCAATAAAAAATGGTAATCCAAGTGAAATTTGGCTAAAATTCAATATTTTAAAACTGGATAAGTTTTTCCTTCATATTTATCTATTTATGAAATGCATAGTTTCATTCGTATATTTTTTCCTAGGTTCACTACTTATTTGGCGGTAACCCAGGTAAAGCTTCTCTTCCCAAGATGCGACTGGATGATTTTTGGTCACTGAGACTATGTCGTCCCTCAACTCAACAGCTTTTGCACACTTGCGTCCTCCTTATCCGGAAACATAGGTAAGTGTGTATTCTAGCTTGCTAAAATTGGTTACGTAAAGCTTTGTCTCTGACTTATCCGGTTTCATGGCCCCTGGTAAAATAATGTTTGTCCACTTCATTAGCTATGTTTAATTAATCCTCTTCATGTTGTGAGTAGAGATGTTTATAGAATGCTGCAACACATATGGTGCTAGTTTATATTAACAGCATAATATTATGATACAAAATAGTATACAGTGTATATGGATGCATGATTTGTGTTGTCATGTAGTGAATGTAGAATAAAGGTGAAGTATGACGTTTACTAACATAACTGGCTAAGCACCCTAAACAAATGAAACAAGAAAAACTCGTTCAAAGTTTTGCTTCTTTTAAAATGCCATATCTCGGTAACCAGAAATGAATTTCAGGTGATTTCTAGTTTTAATTGTAGCTTAACCACTGCACTGGGCCACCTGACATAACACTGGGTATGGCGGTGTGCCACCCGACTCAGGAGCGATGTTAGGATATCATAAGATTCAAAACGCATACGCGGAACGTTGGTTACAAGATGGGTGCCTGAGACCTCCATTGAGTGGCAGCCATCTTGATAAAATTCCCAGCATGCCCCAGGGCCATGGGTTGGCTCAGTTCTGAGTGAGCAACCAATCTCCTGTTGGATGCGGTGTCGAAAGATCGCTCTCCGTTGATGAAATTCAGACCTTATGGTTTGAAGAAGTTAAGAATAGTGATATTGATGAAGCAAGGCACGATAAAGACTTAACACAAGTGTCGGATACAAGTGATAAAGCACAGATGAGGATACAGATACAGAGAGCATATCCAGTACAGGGTGAGCGCCTGGTATGTTGCGGCCTCCCGGGCCATCTCCCTCGCCATTATTATCACCATTTGTGTCATCTCCAATTTTTGAAGAAAGTGATACTATAGATGAATTGTTTTCTGGGTTGTGGTGATACTTTTGATACAAGTAGCATAGTTTAGTCAGTGTGTTAGTGGCTTCCATGGTGGTGGTGGTCATGCCAGCACAAGGAGCATGGGTGAATTTACAAAGGAGGGCTGTGATAATTTTGCTCCACACAAAAGCACAATTTGATGATATTGAAGTTGGTGTTGAACCCACTTTACCATATACAGGTGAAGATGAGTGAAATTGAATATTTTATGGCTTATTTTGATGAGCCATTCATACCTTGCGATGATATCGAGGCTTAGCGTCCCCGCGGCCCGGTCCTCTACCAGGCCTCCTAGTCACCTAGGTTCATGCAAAATCATCTTGACAAAACTAACAGGTTTGCAATGCAACTGCAACTTATTGCAGATGGTTTATTACATCCTTCACGTATGACACGATGGAAGGACACCACTGTGGCTAAATTGTGTGTTCTTAGCTCTGTGTCTTCCTATTAAACATTCCATGAAACACTTAGTACAGGATTATTGGAAAAATATTTGCGCTGTTCCAAGCCGTATTCAACAACTACATGTCATGAGACAGGTTCCTGATATTTCTAAGGTGCCTACACTTTGAAAACATTATAAATGTTGATAAAAATTATCAACTTTGGAAAGTGCCAAAAGTGTTCAGCGATACCAGACAAAAAGTTTGCGATTACTTTGTACCAGGACAGAATTTTGTCATTATCTTTTCCTAGATCTTTTTAAGACTACCTTACACTTCACAAGCTTGACTACATACCACCTACAGGAACTAAAGCCAAAGGTGTATGTGAGTGCATTGTTTGCAAGTGCACAGAACAAAGAAACAGGAAGTGGAAATTTGTGTGTACCTGGTGCATCATGTGCAAAGTCGCGCTGTGTACCATGGACTGCTGTTTTGATTATCACTCACTTCCGAAGTACTGAATGTGTAATACAGTGTATGACTATGTAAATAGTGTGTGAGAGTGTACATAGTTTAAATACATTGAATATTGAACAAGTAATATTGCGACAATAAAAAAAAATTGTGACACAGGTATCACAGTTCCTTGGAACATTATGAACATTCTACTGTGTACCTATTGTAAAGGACACACATGTGCATCAGATATGATAAAAGAAGTAATTAGAAAGCATTGAAAATGCATTGGAAAAAATTCATGAAAATATATTTATGGCAACTCGCGAGTCTTGAATCGCCCGCACGACCGCCTCTGAAAGCTTTCTGTATGGGCGAACACGTATTGGTGACGTCACATCGCATCTTCTCCACGTCACCACAACCAGAGTAAGTTTTTTTTTTTTTAATGTACATGTTCAGGGAAGGGATTTTAACAATTTACAAAAAAAAAAAAATTGGGGAGGACGCTTCAATTTCCGTGCACCACCAGAATGTGGTGAGGTGCACAAACCGCGCAGCACGGAGGTTAAAGTATGTTTCAATATTAGTACAGTAAAGTTAAATTGATAAAAGTCAAATTAAATAAGTCAAATTAGGACAAATTTAATTTTGTTTTATCAGCTTTCAAATGGTGTTTTGAATAAGAGAATGAAATTCTATTGTATATATTGTATTATTATTATATTAGTTTCTACAGCTGTCTTGAGTAATCACCTTTGTTACTTTTTCTCCCAGGTTTAGTGAATTAGCTCGGGATAACTCGGTACTGGCGCTGAAGTACCTTCAGACGAAACTTCATAATGCCGTTGACCATACTGACCCACAACAAGTGCAGGAATTTCAAGCACTTGCCACAACGCTCTTTCAACCCCACGAAGATTCAATATATGGTCAAGCACATTCTTTATCAGAGGATGAAGACAGCAGCTCAAATTTATTTGGCACCGACCTAGGATGGCAACATAGTTCTCGTTCACAATTATTTGATCAACTAACTCAATTTTTCCCTGAGCACATGACACAGCCCAGAGGGAATCTAGTAGATCTCATACCTTACTGATCTTCATCACTTGATACGCTATATCTTGGAAAAGTAGTAATCACAGCCTTGGCATATTCCTTTTATATACAGTATATATATATATATATATATATATATATATATATATATATATATATATATATATATATATATATATATATATATATATATATATGTCGTACCTAGTAGCCAGAACGCACTTCTCAGCCTACTATGCAAGGCCAAATTTGCCTAATAAGCCAAGTTTTCATGAATTAATTGTTTTTCCACTATCTAACCTACCTAACCTAACCTAACTTTTTGGGCTACCTAACCAAACCTAACCTATAAAGATAGGTTAGGTTAGGTTAGGTAGGGTTGGTTAGGTTCGGTCATATATCTACGTTAATTTTAACTCCAATTAAAAAAATTGACCTACATAATGAAATGGGTAGCTTTATCATTTCATAAGAAAAAAATTAGAGAAAATATATTAATTCAGGAAAACTTGGCTTATTAGGCAAATTTGGCCTTGCATAGTAGGCTGAGAAGTGCGTTCTGGCTACTAGGTACGACATATATATATATATATATATAATATATATATATAATATATATAATATATATAATATACAGTATATAACAACCAAAAATAGAATTCCTGCCCTGTAGACCAGTATTCACTGTGGCCTGTTAATACTAGATTGTCCTTTTTATCTGCAATATTTTCTTTTTAATGCATATTAAAAAGTAAAAAGTCCTCAGAATATTGAGCTTCTGTAAGTTGCCTTCAACTAATATATTAGTGCAAATCTAGTTTCTTTGTAGAGTACTGTAAAGTAAATACAGTACTTTCAAAACCAGTCAGTTATATATTGGTCGTTTTTAATTTTCTTCAGTACTATATAATAAATAATTTTGTTTACTTTAAAATTTGCTTATTTTGGTTGAACTTTTCATTTATGTAATTATTATCTGCTTGATTATGTGGGTAAGTGTATTCCCTCTCAGACTCATGCGTGCACGCGTGCGCGCGCACACACACATCCACATATACATACATATATACATTCACTCTTAAATACTTTTGTAATAGTTAGAATGTAAATACTTAATTTTTAATGTGAGATGTTTACACTTTTTTCTAGTTGACCCATGATATTTTTTCACATTTACCTAGCATGTGGCATGTTTATTTCTTGGAGTGAGTACACAAGTCCTTTTCATCTACAAATCCCTTCACTAAACTATCACACAGAAAGAGGCTATATGTGGCAAAGAGGTGCTAGACTTAGACAGTTAATGATTAAATTTAGTAGTAACTTCATTTGCCATTGAAGGCAAATGAAGAAATAAAACTATTGAAGGATAGTTTTATATTTAATGACGCGGCAAACAAGAAATGACGATGAAGTGAACTTAACACAAGGACGTATTTTATTTCTGGTTTTCACTAGTGCAGATAGGTCAGCCATACTGCTCGTGTGTGTGTGTGTGTGTACATGTGTGTGTGCGTGCGTGTGTGTAGTGTTTTTACCAGTATGGATTACTGCTGCAGTAGATGGACCAGCCACGTTTGACTGTACAGTTGTTCCTGCAGTAAGTGGGCTTGTCATGCCGATTTCCTGTGCTCCTTCAGCGCAGGTGCAAGTTGCCTTATTGTTGGACCAGAGTAGGAATTTCTGGTAGCAATTGAAAATATAGTCATAACAAAAAAAGCTATCTTTACAAAATGAAAATATTTTGGTCATTCACTGATAAAAGGGTTTAAAGTTCAAACACCATTTTACTTTTTATAATACTGTTTCTATAATTTTGGGAGGAAATTGAAATTGGAAAATAAATACGGTATTGTGTATATCAAAATTTTGATTAGTTTAATAACTCGTAGCAAAATATTAAGAAAAGTGTCATCACCACCTATCATATTACTCATACTTATTGTGTTAATATTATGAAGATATTCATGTTAAAGTGGATAAGTTGATGATGATAATACTCGCATTATAGCTAGCTTAATATCCAATGACATATGTAGTTTTAGTGTATTACTAATGTGAAACTATTTAATTATTCTGAAGAAAATTCGTGCATTTTTATTATTTTTCTTGAATGATGAGCCAAGAAGTTTCGTGCATGTTCAGAAATTTATCTTGTGCCACTTCTACTTATGAAGTTTTTTTTTTTTTACTATGAAGGCACTTCTTAACATGGCAAGTTATCTCTTTGGACAGATATTCATGCATACAGAAAAATTGATTAAGGGCTGAGCACTTGATGGACTAGCCAGTGATACAACCAAAGATCACAACAAGTTTTATAAATATGTTAAACTTTGTGTTCCTGTTAACTTGTTATATTTCTTTTGTTAATGGTGCATCATTCCACAGAAATGTTTGCTACTTATTGTACCAAAATTCATATAACCATTAACAACTAATTACTTGTTCATGGGATAGCATAACTAGGAAAGTACTAATGCAGTGTATACATACTAATGATGACAATGACCACAAACTAGTCTAACTCCCCGATATGAAACATGCTATTAATTGTCTTTCTTTTATACAGTGCTTTTATATGACCATTGTCGTCTGAATGTACATGAAGGACAGTTATAGTGCATACTTGATTTATGGAGGCATTCTTTAAGCCACAGATGTGGGAACCTGTCATACATACGCCATACTAATATTTTTGTGGAAACAACTCTGGTATGTTTGTCTTCAGAGGTTTAGGATAAGCTGCCACCTCTTCCTGAATGATTAATTGGTTGGAGTCATATGTGAGTGTAGTTTCTCACAGTATAGTGGAGACAAAAGTGCAACCTCTGTATATAATGTTAAAACTCTTACATTGACTTACCTTCCCCAGTCATTCATTAGGTGTCCATTTTTCTATGAATAGGGAGACTCTTACGAAGAAGTTCAATCAAGATTGTCTTCCCTGAAGTGTTTCAATGCATTCATTAATATTTATCATTTTATTTACAAAATACCATAAAACTAAAAAATTATGTTGATTTTTTTGTTTTTTCCCCTTTTTAATAGGTGATTGGCTTAGGTGATTGTTGTAATGAGAATGATTGATGTGTATAATTGTATAAACATTCTGTACATAATACACTTAGAGAATATCTTGAATAAGCATATATTACGCAGATGTTTCGACATTTCTAAAATTGCTCTTATATAAGCTTATGACTTTTATCTCACGTATGGCTTTTGACCCTGAATGAACTGAATGTTCTTTAATAATAATAGGATAAAGCAAGCCAACTGGAGTTGTTTAATTGCAGAAATATGAAGAAAAGCAAATACTGTACTGTACTTGCTTCTCTTCAGCTTAAGTCAGCCATTCATTCAACTGGGTATATTGCATTTCCTGAATTCTATACAGTACCAAGAAAGATGGTATTTTGTGGTATACTTGATATTGAAAAATGGTTGAATACTGTATTGCAATACTGTACGGGGAAATAATCATATCTATATTTGTATAGATCTATTGGCCTGTACCCAAGACCATATAAGTAATATTTTATGAGCCAATTATTTATACATATTAGTTTTTCAAATTAAGGTTCAAAGGGATTGTTATAAATTCCAAAGTGTTGTGCTTGTGTTTATAAACCATATTTGATGTTCAGTCATTGTTTGAATCATAAAATAACAGTAAATTTATTTTTTGTTAAGTCATTTGTATTTTTTAGCAGCAAAATGGATTAGAAGGGCTAGAAGTATGTATACTAAAAGACAGCAATTAATCAAGAGAATAGTTGAAAAATAATATTTGTCTGTTTACATGTGTAGAAATTAGGTCTGTACCTGGGCTATAGATTAGTCGTGTGTCATGCACAAAGCTGTCACCGAGACACTAACGTAATGGTTGCACCTTAATCTTGGCACTGTTATAATGCCATTTTCACAATATGTACTGCACACTAAATACTGAAATGCAATCTTTGATATCACTGCAGTACTTGATTTATATTAAATGTATAAATTGGAGTAGTTTAAGTATATCAGCAAAAGATTAAGAAATTCATCTTACTATTTTTCTAAGGAAAGAAGCTAAAATTCCATTAACCAATCTGTAATTTCTACCATACAAAGTGATTTATTACTGTATAGTGCAATATTTCAAAATAATTTTTAAACAACTTCATTCCATAAGCTCAGAAAGTATTGTCTTTTATGAATGAACTTTATAGATGTATTTTAATTAAGCCAAAAGTTCTAAAAGTGTGTTAGAATGTCATGCAGTGTTTCTAAGACGTGGGAGGACGAAATGAGTGTGCTTGTGGATTTAATTGTAATGAAAATGTAACTGTTGCAAACCTTTTCTTATAATTGCCCGTATATAACTAGGATTGTGTGAATGGACTCGTGGTGGTGTCTCTGAAATATTAGTATTGTAATACACACACAAATACATGTTTGTAAATATTTGTATATCAAATACATTATATATCAAGTAATCTCAGTTTGGTTAAAAGTACATTTTTTCTGGTAACCTTTTTTTCTCCATTTTTATTCTTGTACTCTAGTTCTAGGTGGTGTTCTAATCTATTTTCTCATCCATTACATCACCTATTCAGTATATTCTTTTTTCCTTGCATTTTTTCCTTTATATGACTTGCCCTTTATATGTTTTTCAATAATTCTTCTCATCTCATCTTGTAAGTGTGCATGCTTGCCGAAGACTGTCCTCATTCTTCCTACACTGGAGTACATGCTGAGTGCAGCCCACATTCTATCTCACTTGTATGCATGTCAAGGGCAATCCTCATTCTTTGTCGCATATGTACACTTGTTGAGGGCAGTCCTCATTCTGTGTCGTGTTTGTACACTTGTTAAGGGCCGTCTTCGTTCTTTCTCACTTGTGTACACTTGTTGAGGGCAGTCCTCATTCTTTCACACTTGTGTGCTCTTGCTACATTAATACTTTAAAATTTCCACAGTCTTGTCTCCCAATGCAAGTGATTAGTGAGTTCTTCCCTTTTACATTGGCCGTACTTGAATGTGGAATTCTTTCACAGAGGTTTTAAAAAAAGTGTGTTTTTCCATGTGTGTGTTTGTTTGCATTTGTGGGATACATTAATATGCAGTACTGTACAGATGGACAAATTTATTTTCAAG